GCCAAGTTTAGGTAGCTCTCACCTGGCTGCAAGGGCAGCCTCTACCAGTCTACCACTTTGGAGGATGTCTGGTTCTGCCCTGCCACCTCTGCTCTCGGAACATGCCGTGTAGCAAGACATGAGGAGCGTCCTTTCTGTGAACCAAGATGCAAGTAGGGAAAACGGGGATGAGGGTGCAGCTGGCCCAAAGCCAGGCTCTCCAGGCAGAGGCTGTTTGCTTCAGCATACTCTACAACTTTTGAGACTGAGCTCAGCCATCTGGCAAGCCTAGATCCAACAAAGCCCACTGGGGCTCTTTACTGTAGATTTGCATTGCCAGTCTCCAAGAGGAAAATGTAACAGGGAAAACCACCAAACCCATGTTCTGAATAACAAGCCTCTCAACTTCTTCCCAAATAGCAAGGCAAGTGTAGGGAGATACTGTCCTAACAAATTCTCTCACAGTACTTAGCGAAGTATCAGCTGCATGCCAGCCATTGTGCTAGGTATCAAACAGCAATAGTATAGATGTCCATTTCTAGGAATCCATTCAGAACAGCTGTGAAGTAGGAAGACTTGGGATTGGGCACAATAGGACTGGCTTTAGTAACAATTTAGGCAATAATAATCTGTGCTTAAGTTTTAAACTCTCACTTTCTTATTTCTAATCTGACAATGACTGACTTGGAGATTAAGACATATGCTCAAATATCACCTGTTTGTTTTTTTTGTTTTGTTTTTTTTTAGTCTATCAGTTAAAGCCCTGTGTCTGTTTCCTCATATTAGGAAGAATAATATTAACTGTTTAATTCATTAAATCTGTATAAAGAATAAATCTAGGAAGATATTAGTGAACTAGCAAAAACAATACAAATATAGAAAAAGACTGGGTATGGTGGCACATGCCTATAGTTCCAGTACTCAGAATCAGGTAGGAGGCTGAGTTCAAGCCTCGTCTGGCAAGAAAGACCCTGCCTCAAAACAGAAAATCCACAGAAAATCCAAAACCAGAAAATATGTAATTTCTGGGTTTTTAGCATCAAGATGCTAAGATATAGTCAGTATTTTGTTACTCAAACTGTTTTATAAATAACTTAAAATAAGTATACTGTATGTTTGGAATGTCATACCTTAAGTAAAGGTAAGGACTCATTTGTCCATAGGTTCTTATTTTAACAGGAACAAGACAGGACAGGCAGGATTTGGTCAGTAAGCGGCTCCTACACTGGCATCAGAGACTGATAGAGCAAAAAGAAAGACAGAAATTCAGTGTAAAATGTGGAGGGAACTAGGACTGTTTGCCAACTGACTGTTGGCTATTTCCAGATCCTAGACTTAGAAGTCTTCAATTAAGATGTCTCTTTATACTTTTGAAAGGTATATTGCTGGTCATCCTGAATGTTTTTATAGATTCATGGTAAAGCCAAGTGCCAGGCTAGAACTTTTAACTTTTCTTATTGACAGTCTGAACCTGAAAATGTTATGCAAAGACATACTGGAAATTTCCTTGTGCTGCTAGTTCACAACCCAGTGTATACAGCCCACAATTGACACACTAGACTGTCTATGAGAGGTTTCACTGACTGGAATCCAATGCAAAGCCTTTCTCTATAATTGATGCCATCTAGATTCTAACTGCAGTCTGAATTCTGATGGCCTTTGCTCAAGCTAATATTTATGACTCCATCTAATAGGTTTACCTTGTCTTCTCCACAGAATGTGAATGGCATAAAGTACCATGCCAAGAATGGTCATCGAACACAGATTCGAGTCCGCAAACCATTCAAGTGTCGGTGTGGGAAGAGTTATAAGACAGCTCAGGGCCTGCGGCACCACACAATCAACTTTCACCCCCCGGTGTCGGCTGAGATTATCAGGAAGATGCAGCAATAACATGCTGGTCATAACTGTGCCAAGAAACCCTCACCAGCAGTTGCTGATTTTGAAAACAGCCACCTTTTTTCAGGGGAAGCATTCAGCAACCCTTTAAAGAATTAAATGCATGCTTTAAATTTTTCTGTAATTTTGGAATGACGTAACTTTGTAGAGGTTAATGATTTTGTACATTTGCACATGTAATCATCATACCCATTTTCATTACTTTGATATAAGGTGCTAAACAAACAAAAAAAGCTCTAGGTTCTTCAGCACATTTCCCCCAAAACAAAATAAAACTGAGGGCATGTTGCATTTTGTTTAGTTGTATTGCAGTGATCTCAATGGGGGTGGGGGGTGGCCCTGAGATGTTTTCAAGATTGTAATGTGATTGAAGTTTTTTCAACACATCAACTCACTTATGTTCAAAACCAAAAGAATACCTTCATTATCAAACTGGTTATCATGCCTTACATAATGGAGTTAGTATTTGTGAGTAGAAAGACTTTAGGTAATGGAAATATAAATAAGAATGTTTAACATAATATGCTAAAAATATTTTCATATTTAAATAACATGTTGAAGGTGTGCTCTTTGTGTTTTACTATCTTGCAAATCCTTTTGCCCTCTAAAAAGCTGAAAATCTTGCCATCTAACTCACCAATCATTTCAGTGTTATAAATGGCATTTTTTAAAAAAATTCCATTCATTCATTCATTCATTTAAACAATTTATTCAGTGCCTGCTGGGTGCAAGGGATTCAATTTGTAACTATTATTTGTGGACCAAGATACAGTTTAGTGAAATACATCCCTGGAATCTGTCAAAAAAAGTTTTGAAATACTTAAGTGCAAATTTTGTGTGTGTGAAATTTAGTTATAGCTTCATCCTCAGATGAGGTTTTCAAGCACTTTGTAGTTCTCTATTGCCAACGACATTTGTGTTGCCAATTCCTGCAACCACACTGCCCTAACATACCTGTGGGTTGCAAATCCAAATTAAAATTCTAAGCATGTTTCAAAGAGGAACATTTTTGTGAAGACTCACAATGCCTCTTCACACTCAATAGTGTTTTGAGACTTCTTTTAAAGGCACTTTTCCTATCACAGTGTAGATGTCTGCATTATCACTGGAAATGTTTGTTTAGCTTTATAAAACATTTTGCCGAAAATTTATGAAAATGAGCCTTACTGACAAGTGCTTCTTGAAGCAGGTGGTCAAAGAAAAGAGACTAGACCATTACGTGTGACCTACATCTGGACCATTCCTAAGTACCATCTCCAACAGTACCATCATGCCTTGAGTGTTCTTTTCTCCCAAGTGCTATTCCTTAAACACGAGTTTACCAGTTGCCTAATTATGCAATAAAAATCCCTTTGAGACAGTTAACTGCCCACAGTACAAAATGGTGAAAAGTCAACTGGAATTCCCTATAAAGTAACTTTCTTCCCATGTTCCCATTTGATAAAAAGTCTTACACATGGCTAGGAAGCAGGGGTCCTGCCTCAATTTTTCAGACATTTTGAAAAAATGACAATTCTGTTAGATGGGTGAGTTGTAAATCCCTCATAATTAGAGATTTAAAAGTATGTATAAAGATACGGCCCATTGAAGCTTTCCTCAGATCTCTGAAGAGTAGTCTTGGTCCTGAATATACAGTGTTCTCCTATGTTTAAAGTGATCCATACATGAGAATCAACTAGTTGGTGCATAAGAACGCCCTACTTGGCTATTTCCTATCTACCTACAACTGACCAAAAAAATAAAAAAATAGGTTTTAAGCCAGCAATTATTATTTAGCTTTGCTCCTTCTAGTGCAAGAAAGTGCAGGCTGGATCAGTAGTGCAACAGCTAGACAGTCATAAAATAGTCATTGTGCATGTTAAATTTCTTTCAATGATAAAACAAATTCCAATTTCTATTTGCTTATTCATTGTGACAGTATTACTAACCAGGTATGGATGGGAATATTTTGTTATACCGTGTATAGTGAATGTATTGTACTGTGTCTGTGAAAACTGTGCTTTAAATTATATTTTCATATGTTTTGTTGGGAACAGAGCACATTAAGTTTGAAAGCAACAGAGGTTTTAGAAATGAAGGCAACTTAATCAAAATTCCTGTCAAGAAAAGCTGCTTAAATAAATGTAAATGAAATCACATTTAAAATAAACTGCCTCTGGCCCAAAATAAACATGACTATTTTCATTAATGCTCATTAAAAAAAAAACAAACCCAAAAGCCAGCATCAAGCTTACCATGGTAACTAATATATCCATTCAGCATCTGGTTCTACCTTGGGCTCCATGTTACTTTGCAGAATTCAGATGATGCATACAGATTTTTTCCCCTTAATGTTTTGCTTAGATTAGAACATATAATTTTTCTACCACTAATAAATTACCTATCGCAAGCTTAGCCCCAAACACTATTATTAATTTTGTTGATTGTGGGGGCTGAACTCTGGGCCTGGACACTGTTCCTCGGGCTCTTCAGCTCTACCACTTGAGCCACAGAACCACTTCTGGCTTTTTTTTTTTGCTTTATGTGGTGCTGCTGAGGAATTGAGCCCAGAGCCTCATGTTTGCGAGGCAAGCTCTCTACCACTGAGCCAACTTCCCAGCCCCATCAAACACTGTTTAAAAATAATTCAGAGAGTATTTTTAGTGAGGGTAATCTATAATTAACGGCATCAAAAATGTTCACAGGGAGGGCTGAACAGTTTTTCCTGAGTATATCCTATTTGTCATATAACCTACCAAAAAGTCAAAACAGGGAGTCTTAACTCTGCTGCCTTCTAGTACTGCCACAGCTAACCAAGAGTTGGCACCTAAATGCCTAACACTGGTATGCCCTAAGCCCAAAAACCTCTTCAAAGGATTTCAGTAACAGAAAAATCCAAGTGACAGGATATGCTCACAATTCACACTGTTACACTGAGAATGCTATAGCATCTAAGTATCAGGTTAACATCTTAAGAAGTTGGTTTGCTCAGAACAAGTCTTAACTTTTTGGTAACTACCACAGAAGCAAATCAAAAGTACTTTAAATTTTTAGTTCATATTATAAGAATTTAAGGTCTAAACCAAAAGATCCCCAGCATGCTAACAGAAAATCTACTGAAAATAAATGTGACAACAATGAAATTACACACCTCTAAGTATGCATCCTCTTTAATGTTAATACTACACAGCACAGACATAACTCAAGAAATACATTATGTGATTTGGGTTTATGCATTACATTTTTAATTATCAAGAATGTTATTTCAAATTTATATTCTCAGCATGAAAATGATATTCTGTGATTTTTATACCACAAACACAAGTTACGAGTTCATTTAATAGGAAACAAACTGTACTGACCTATCTTGTTCCAATTCTCATTGTAAATACAAATTCAATATAGTTTAAAAATAATCCATCCTAAAATTTTTATCATAAAATTAGCAAAATAGGCATTCTAGTATTTCCTAATGCCAATGTTTCATATACAAAAAGAATATTTGCAAGCATGTGATCTCATTCTACATGTAAGTCATTTCTAAGTAAGACTAAAGCCCCATCATTTCATGGGCAAAATTACAGACCTTTATTTAAAGAATTCGCAGAACTGTTATGATCAATGCTTTTTATTACATAATATTCAGTAGTCATGCTCAATCAACAAGGTCAACAGTAAATATTCTGCTAAGTAATGTAGTACACTATTATGGATATATTTTTTAATGCAATAACATTAAAATAATTCCTCTATCCTTTTTTCCATACAATTTTGCAAATTAGGAAATAAATATATAAACACACAAGAACTTCTTTTCTTACAGCAGGTTAAGATTAAGAGGTTAAAATTGTATTTATTGAGAAGTTATAGGCTGACCTTAACCTTAATAACACCAAACTAAAAGTAGTTTGTGGACAGAAGAATGTGCAAAAGAGTGTGCAGGAAAAACCTGTGGTCTCCTTAGTGGTCTACTTAAGATGATTTTTTTTTAAACTGTATTAACTCATAATAAAAAGTAACTAATCAAAGTTTAGAACATTTTGATCAAAATGGGTCTGAACATGCCTTTCAAACCCCTGCTGGTCGTAGTCAGGAGGGAACTGCTCACTGCACATTGGGCACACCTTCCAGTGACTTTCAACATGCTCTTCAAATTTGCTCTGATCGTAGTTGGGAGGGAACATTAATTCACAGAGGGGACACTTCTTGTGAACATCAAAGCTTAAACAAAGAGGAAAATGAAACAATTACATATTTCTAATAAATTTGTAACAATAATTGTCAATATACCATAATGTTACATTTAAATCTAGTTAGCTGATATTCATACCAAACTATCCTGAAAGTCTTAAGTTACTTCAGAAAATTCTTTTTATGTTTCTAAATGGTTGGTACAGTTGGGTATGACTGCCTTTTCATATAGCATTTTAGTTCTATCATTAGATTTATAAAGAAATTCTCCTTAAGAAAAATCACAAAATCTAGTATTAAATAAAATGAGGCTTATTACTAAAAAGTTTTTCCTTTTGTATGCTGGTCCTGAGACTTGAACTCAAGGCCTAGATTCTGTCTCTGAGCCTTTACAAGCTCAAGGCTAGCATTCTACCACTTGAGCCACAGTTCTACTTGCAGTGGTTAATTAGAGTTAAGAGTCTCATGGACTTTCTTGCCTAGGCTGACTTTGAACCATGTATGACTCTCAGATCTAAGCCTTCTGAGAAGCTAGCATTATAGTTGTAAGCCACCAGCATATGACCGGTTCTTCCATTTTTAACTAATGGGAAATCCCTTTCTTTTTTTGGGAAGCTAGTTCTGGGACTCAAACTCAGGGCCTGAGCACTGTCTCTGGGGTTTTTTGCTCAAAGCTAGCACTCTACCACTTGATCCACAGCTCTACTTCCGTTTTGGTAATTGGAGGTAAGAGTCTCATGGGCTTTTCTGCTTAGGCTGGCTTCAAACCCATGAGTAGCTATGATTACAAGTTACAAGATGTCCAGAAGAAAATGCTTTCTTTAAAAAAAAAAAAAAAACTGCAAAGATGAATACAACTCATAACTTCCTAACAGTTTATTCAATTTAGTATCTAGGAAATTTTATGGCACCGTTTCTGAAAATCAGTCATCCAGACAACAGGTGACAACTCAAATTACTAGGTCCTATACCTAGAATTTCTGGGTCAGTAGTTCAGACCCTAAGCACTCAAGATCTCTAACAAGTTCCCAGGAACCACATTTTGAGAAAAATTACAAAAACTATGCAGTTCTACAAAGGAAAAGACAAATTTTACCTGGAGTCAAAGCAAAAGCCATGCCCATGTAAATGCTGAGTTGGTGGATTGGGAGCAGTGGACACATTTTCATCTTCCTAGGCCAAAAAAAAAGTGAACATATGAGAAAAGTGAAAACAAATATAAATTACATCATTTAATAAGCACAGAGAATGTATAAAGGAAGTAAAATTACCCAATTAAATTTTACTTCTACTATATTTTAATAAGACTTTCACATAAACATGTTTCAAAGTAAATTTTATAAAGCATTTTGCTATTATAAACACTACTGAGTGAATGAATACAATGGATGTACAGGGTAGCTGTGTCTCATATGAGATTTCAACACACCATTTAAAATGACAATGCAATTTAAGAACTCACAAAATGTTTATTTCTAGAATTTCCCATTTAACGTTTTTAGATTATAGTTGATTATGCGTAACTAAAGCCAGAAAGAAAAGGCACTGATGGGAGGCTGATGAGGGGAATGTGCTCCTATGAAAAGCTGTACCCAGTGAAATGGAGACATACTGCACCTGCACGTGTGCATGGAGTCAAAGCAGGAAAACTACTTACATGTAGTCCATTTTACTACTTTTTTATTTTTCTATAGATGGGGTAAATGGGGTGGCCACTTTCATAAGCATATCAACACTGCATTAAACCGTTAACTTTCAAGTCTTGACAGGATTATACATAAATCTAATGCACAATATACAGATATCATAAATACAGGAATAAAATATGTGCATTTACATAGGTGTACCTACTGGGAGATCCAACTGAAAAACACATGTTAAAGCAAAGCAACGCGATGCACCAAACCAAAAACCTCAATACTATTATAGAAAAATAAAATTCAAGTTTTGAAGTTAACAAGTGAAACTTCTAAAAACCTGATTTCAAATTGCAAAGAATGCTCTTCATTTGTAATTCTATGCCTGCATCTCAGTGCTGTTATTAGACATCTGTGCATGCTGTATCAACAGCCAGAACACGAAAGCAGTGCCTTTTTTCTTCCCCTCAGCAACTATGAGCTGCGCGTGTGTCATGACCTAACAGCCTGTGAGCAGGTGCAGGCACGCTGAGCATTATTTATGTTACGGGGCAGTTATGCTTGCCTTAGAGCTATTAACAAACTAGTCACGTGTGTCACAGAAGGAGGTACCAAAAAGGCGTAAGTGGTGTGAAAATGCACTTTAAATGAACAAACAAAAAACAAATTGTTTCATGGTGGGTACTTGGCTATTATTCTGACAATCCTTCCTTCTTCAAAGTTGAGGTTTTTTTTTTCTTTATCACATAAGAAATTGCTTTTGTATACATAATTGCTATAGGATGTAACTGGGTAAAAATAAAATGGACAGATAATGAAAGACAGAGAAATCTGGATAAAACACAAGTATTTTTAAAGATAAAAAAATTAATGTTCAAATAAGTACAATTAAGGAAGCTTTTAAGTTTGTTCTGTACAAAGAAGTGAGATATTAGTTGAATCAGCTATGTTTATTATATACGACAGTAAATGTTGATTCTGAGCCAAGTTACCCTCAGGCTTCCAAGGATAAAATACTGATACTGCTTATTTTAAACAGAAAAGTGATAATGAACAAAAATTTCAGATTCCTCTTGAAAGAGAAAAAAAAATTCAAAACTTTGAAGCACTGAAGAAACTAGGAAACCAATTTTGTTATTAGGTAGTACTGGTTAACATTCATCTTTTTTTTTTTTTTGGAGGTCCGGTCGTGGGGCCTGAGCGCTGTCCCTCAGCTCTTCAGCTCAAGGCTAGCGCTCTACCACTTGAGCCACAGCCCACTTCCGGCTTTTTTCTTTTTGCTTATGTGGTACTGAGGAATCGAACCCAGGGCCTCATGCATGCAAGGCAAGCGCTTTACCACTGAGCCACCTTCCCAGCCCCTAACCTTCATCTTTTTATGGGATATTATTGTTAAGCTTTATCAAACATTCACTTCCCCTACTTTGTCAGTTGATGGAAGAACACAGAACTTTACGATTTATATGCATTTAAACATTAAAAAAAAAGTTCTGTACTAAATAACTGCCATATCTGTGGATTTATTACACATAGTAGGTAATAGGAATTTCTAAAAAAATTTAAAGACCACTGAATTATCTGCTTTATTTTTTATTTATGTTGGTGGTACTGAAGAACTCAGGACCTAAACTTTACAAGGCAGATGTTCTTATCATTTAAGCCATGCCACTAGCCCCTGAACTATGTATTTTTCACATAAACTCTGTCAATAAACCTGTCATCAAATATTACTTTCCTAAGGTAATCTTAAATAGTTTAGAAGGCAAAATAAATCAATAAAAAAGCACATTTCTTTAACTAAACTTAGCAATAAATACTTAACTAGTCCTCAAGATATGAATGACATCACCTGGTCATAAAAGGAGGGAAATTCAGCATTAGGACATGCCAACCAGTAGAGCTGGAAATACAGCTCAGTGGCAGTTGTATTGTTGAACATGCCATCAGACAACTGCACACATGCTAAGTACATGCGTGAATGCTAAGTTCATGCATCCATGCATGACTGGTTCAATCTCCAGCACATACACATTGAAACAAAAAATTTAAAAAGCCAACCATATATAGAATACCAAGAGAAAATAACTATACATTAAAAAACTGATTAAAAGAAAAAAATAATCTTTTTATGATGTCCTATTATTTTTTAGTGTCACTATAAAACAAACCATTGCCTAATACCATATAACCAAAGAAAACATAGAAATAAGTCTTTGAGTTAACTTTTCACATTTAGACCCAATTTATACAGATTGAGGTAAGGATATTGAATGTTCCTAGAAACCATTTGTTGCAAAGATTATTCTTTTCCCATTAAACTGTTATTTTAAAAAATGAATTGACTGTAATTATATACTACTTCTATAAACAGAAAACAAACTAAAAAATTTTAAATAAGACCATGAAAAATGGCAAAAATTAAGGGGGGAAAAATTTGCACAATGACAAATAGAAGGCTTTGATTTTTCATTAAAGCAATTTTAGAGTCACAGATCCTTTAGAGCCACAGACCTTCATAAGAATAATCGCTAAGAATGTGTCATGAAGATATGTGTATCAATAAAACCTGTCTGCAGTTTAGGAGTCCCCTGAGAAGATTTCATATGGAAAGCAATCAACAGGAAAGCTATCAACATATTAAAAAGAATATGTGAACCTGATATTAGTCTTTCAGAAAGACAGGAAAGGAATGAAGGAAAATGAGAAACAATCCAGAAAAGGATGAAAACAAGTAGAAAGTAAACTGTGCATTAAGAAAGGGAAAATAAGCCAGGCTCTGGTGGCTCAGGCCTGTAATCCTAGTTACTCAGGAGGCTGAGATCTGAGGAATGCAGTTCAAAGCCTGGGCAGGAAAGTCCATGAGATTCTAATAAACTATTCAGAAAAAGGCGTAAGTGGCTCTGTGGCTCAAATGGTAGAATACTATCCTCAAGCACCAGAGTTCAGGTACAGGACCCAAGCCCTGAGTTCAAGCCCCAGGACCAGTTAAAAAAAAGAAAAAAAGGGAAAATACCTAACCCTGACTAATAGAGAAAGAAGTTCTGACCAGTATATTCTTACCTTTACCAAATATATGACCATTTAGGAATTTTGTTAAGTGCTCTCTAATTTATGGTAGATTTGGCGTAGAAAGAGATTCTGCATTTTTAGCAATATTTTTGGCAATACTACTTCCTTTCCTCCATCCTATACAAACAACACTGAGCAAGGGTTTAGACTTGTGTCTCCAAATGAGAATGAAAGTGCTTAGTGCAAATTCAGGAATTCTGTGGGTTTTAAATTTTAAGAGCTATTATATATGCAAGAAAACAAATCTTTAGTACTTGTCAGATATCGCATAAATAACCAGTTTAGGACTACACCAACTTTAGTTAGTGCTACTACATTCCTCTCAGTGACATCCCAGTTTTGAGAAGCTGAGTCTTCAGTAGTTGTAGTTAAAGAAAGCAATGCTATTCCTGTAATGCTAGCTACTTAGAAATCTGAGACCCAGACTGATGGAGGTTCACAGCCACACCTGAGGGCTGGGAATGGAGCTTAGTGGTAGAGTATTTGTCTAGCATGCATGAAGTCCTGGTTTTATTCTTTAGTACTACATAAACAGAAAACGCCAGAAGGGGCACCTTGGCTTAATTGGTAGCTTAATTGGTAGCGTGCTAGCCTTCAGTAAAAGAAGCTCAGAGACAGTGCCCAGGCTGGGCAAAAACGAAACAACAACAACAAAAAAAGCTGAGTGTGAGAGCAAGGTCAAGCCCCATATTGGCAACCAAAAGGGGAGGAACAAAGAAAAGAAAAGTAAACAACCAAAGCCAGCCCTGAAAGAAAAGTCTGATAGACTCCACCTCCAAAATTACTCAGCAAAACACAGGGCTGGGGAGGACAGGCTCATGTGGTAGAGGGCCAGCCAAACAAACAAGCCAAGTTAAGTGTAAGGCTGAGTTCCAAATCTAGTATCCACCCCACAAAACTCAACAGGAAATGAAGACAGCTTGTCCAATAGAATAATAAAGATTGAGAAATTAACTGCACAATGGCCAAAATAACGCATAACCCTTAGTAACTGTAGTTACTTAAAGAAAATAAAAATATCTATGTTAATGGTTACTAAAGTTGTTAGAAAATACTTATTCATTATTTCTTTTGACCTATGTAGTGCTATGAAATCTAAAACCAAAGTAAACAACAAAACCCTACTGAAATGCTAACAAAAAGTACCATGAGGGCTGGGAAGGTGGCTCAGTGGTAGAGCGCTTGCCTTGCAATGCATGAGGCCCTGGGTTCAATTCCTCAGCACCACATAAGCAAAAAAAAAAGAAAAAGAAAAAGAAAAAAAAGCCGGAAGTGGCCGCTGTGGCTCAAGTGGTAGAGCGCTAGCCTTGAGCTGAAGAGCTGAGGGACAACGCCCAGACCCAGAGTTCAGGCCCCACAACCGGACCCCCTCCCCCCCAAAAAAAGTGCCATGAACTGAGAAAGAATGGAAACCTTTGGTGTGGCCTTACCTGATGGGTGGTTAAGCCTACAGCCTCCACAGCCAAAATGACAAGACTCAAATCCTGCCTGTTTATCAACTCTCTTGATTTGAGGCTAGCAATTTAATCTGTTTCTCACTTTTTTCCACTATAAATTAGCAACAGTTAAAACTCACACTCCTTAGTACTGCTAAGAAGAACAAATGAGGTACTTTATCTAAGGAACTTAGCATTAGCAAACAGAGACATAGAAATATTTACTGTCATGACCATCACGACAATTATGATGTTACTACCATAATTGCAATTATTAGACAAATGGGAGTTATTTTTAAATAGGTTTTAAACTCTGACCATTTTCTGAGATAGGCTAAAGGAGTAGGCTAACTGACTCAAAGTTGGCTACCAGTGCCTGTGGTTGTTAATCATTCCAGGGCAAAGAAACAGAAAGAACAGGTCAATTCAAATTTGTTTTCCACTTCTTACAAAAATAATTCATTTAAAAGTCATCTTTGCTGCAATAAAAAGAACTTAAAAGGTTTTAAATATGCATAAAAACTGTTTTCTAAGTGAAAAATGGTCTGATTACAAAACACAATTATTCCAGGTATGCATATTCATCTCATTACCAAATCTAAGCATGTCAGCAAATGAGCACAAGATTCTAACACTGCTTCTCAAGGGTTTGCAGGAGGGCAACGCACACAGATCAGAAAGAACATTCTGCTAATTAAACGGAAGCAGATGACTATGGAAGAGAAGGGCTTGTCACATGTAACAACCGTGTCAAGAATGATCAGATTAAATATGCAAAATGTAAAGTAAAAGGTATAAAAAGAACCAGTAAGATAATTCTCTAGACCTTAAATAGGCTACAAAAGTTCTGACAGTTTTCCTAATTATTCTCAGTAATGGACATAGGAGGCCAAAAGGCAGGAGAGAGAAATACATTTTTATCCATTACGGGTGTTGAACACTAAGGCTAAAATCATGCCTGTCTGAACACTGATCAGTTTCTGCAAAGGTTAATAGCAATTAAATGCAGCAAACTACTTTAAATGAGAAACAGGTCACGATACCAGTGTACTTATAAAGAGCACAATAAAGCATTTCTTTTAAATTTATCTTAATGCACAGGAAACCCAAAAAGAGCTGTTATGAAGAAAAAAAAACACCTATATTTCAACAGTTGCACTGAGGAAATGAACCCATTAAGCAGTGGAAAAATCTCTTAAATGAAAGTGTTTTGAAATAAAAGACTACATAAACAAATTCAACTATCATCAGTATTGCTTTGCCGCCACAGAATAAGAAATGCTACATAAACCATTATTGAGGTATCTAAGGAGCTGGGCGCCAGTGACTCACGCCTATAATGCTGGCCGCTCAGGAGGCTGAGATCTGAGGATCACAGTTTGAAGCCAGCCCGGGCAGAGAAGTCTGTGAGACTCTTATCTCTGATTAATTACCAGGAAACTGGAAGTGGTACTGTGGCTCAAGTGGTAGAGCATTTGCCTTGAGCTGAAAAGATCAGGGACAACACCCAGGCCCAGAATTCAAGCCCCACGTCTGACCTCCCCCCATACCTCCCCGCCCCAAAAAAATGGTATCTTAGAGCCTGGGAATATGACTGAGTGGTAGAATGCTTCCCTAGCATGCATTAAGCCTGGGTTCAATTCCTCAGTACCACATAAGCAGAAAATGCCAGAAGTGGCACTGTGGCTCAAGTGATACTGAGCAAAAGAAGCTCAGGGACAGTGCCTGTGCCTAAGCCTAAGCCCTGAGTTCAAGCCCCAGGACTGGCCACCAAAAAAAAAGGTATCTAAAAGAATGTTCAACAAGAAATGTATTCACTACCTTACTCATGAAACTGTAACCCAGTTGACAGCATCTTTACAATAAAATAAAATTTTAAAAAAGGTTATTTCTCCCAAAAGATACTATAATAATGAAGATAATAGAGTTCACCTTAACTTTTACAGTTAAGGTATAAATATTAAAAATGGCAATATTATGGTTCAGTATGCAGTGCTTTTTCCATCCTAGAGCATTTATAATCAAATGGATGCAATGAAGTAGTGATGATTAAGATTATATTAACTGATGCCTACAACATTCCAAAATTCTCTGCACTTTATGTTACTAGTATATAAATCCTGAAGCATAATAAGTTGGGTTTTTTGTTGTTGTTGTTTTTTTGTCGGTAATGGGGCCTGAACGCTGGGCCTGGGTGCTGTCCCTCAGCTCTTCAGCTCAAGGCTAGCGCTCTACCACTTGAACTACAGCACCATTTCTGGCTTTTTCTGCTTATGTGGAGCTGAGGAATTGAACCCAGGGCCTCATGCATGTGAGGCAAGCATTGTACCACTGAGCCACCTTCCCAGCCATGAGTTGTTTTCAAACTAAAATACAAGCAAGTTTCTTTTTTCAAAACTCAAGTAGAGGTAATTATATAAAAACACAAGTGTACATTCTTTCTACATACCTATATACCTTCAACTTTAAGTCAGGAAATAAAAGGGACAGGTTCAGACCACGGAAATTCAACTTACTTTGCTATCCTCAGGGTCTTCTAAACCATCAGGCCGACTAAGATTTCTAGCAGGCTGACTGCAGACAACATTGTCTTCCCAAGAAGGGACTCTCACAGGTGGCCTTTGGATTTCATCCGGGTAAAAAGCACCATCTGCTCCATCTGTAATAAAATTTCAGAAGAAATGGGGAGGGGTTAGACAGGTAGGGTCAACCCAGTTACTAAAATTTACATTCCTATATACTAAGTACTATGATCTCTAAATACTATGAACAGGAAGCAACCTGGGGATGGGAGTGTGGATCTGTAGTAGACCAACTGCCTATCATCTGAAAGCTCTGGGTTCAGTAACTAGCACTGAAAAATAAACCAAAACAAAAAAATCATTGGGGACTAAGAAAGAAGGGTGAGGAAGAGGAAAGGCAGTAAAGCCAATTAGGCACTGTGGCATAAGCCTATAATCCCAACACTCAGAAGGCTAAGGCAAAAGGATCCAGACAGAAATACACAGATTCCATCTCAAAGAAAAAAAAATTATTGTTAAACCTAATGGTGCAAGACAACTGAACAATAAGTAATAAACAAATGGACTAGGGCTGGGAAGGTAGCGCAGCAGTAGAGTGCGTGCCTTGCAAGCATGAGGCCCTGGGTTCGATTCCTCAGCACCACATAAACAGAAAAAACCAGAAGTGGCGCTGTGGCTCAAGTGGTAGAGTGCTAGCCTTGAGCTGAAGAGCTGAGGGACAGCGCTCAGACCCAGAGTTCAGACCCCATGACCAGCAAAAAAAAATAAAAATAAGAAAATAAAAAAAAAATGGACTACACATTTATGGTTATCATGATGCCACCAACATTAAACATTAAAACTGAAAACAAAAAACAGAATGTTTCTATTCCAGTTCTCTAATCCAATGGCAAGCTAAAAAAAAAAAAACAAAAACAAAAAATCTCCAAATTCAGTTAAGCCCAAAGCCAAAAACACTTCAATGACCTCTTATTTCCTGGGTTGTGTAAGGGTTACCATACTGCAGAACTGGCTGAGCATTCAGGAGAACAGGAATATGTCCATTATGCTCTGAGCATGTGCTGAGACATTGTGAGATTTGCTGGGGGCTCTGACCTTCCGTGCTCCTTTCTATTTGATTTTCTAAACTCCTTTTGAGCTCCTAAAATTAACAACAAAAAGAAAGATGAAGTAAGGAAGCCTCCAAGGGCAACATTAAACATCTAACATAGAATAAAGAGAAAAACTCATATAATCATTTTAATAGATACAGATATAACATTTTAGAAATCCAACAGTCACTCATATGTTTTTAAATGTTTGCCAGGTAGAATAAAAAAGAACTTTCTCAATTTTAACTTAATAAAGCCTGTAGAAAACCTAAATGCTGAAAAACTAAATAATACTATTTAAGAACAAATAGTTCTTTTGCTCTCTCCTGTTCAAAATAAACAGTGAATTAACTCAGGGTTAAGGTTTAAAAAATAAATAAGGTAGACAGACTAAAAAGAAGTTCTTTATTCAGATATTGTTACATATGAAGAAAATTCCTATGGTATCTAAAAAAGTAGAATGGGTCAATTGAAGCAAGGCTGTAGTATATGAAGTTAATATTCAAATGAGTTATATTTTTCTATACATAAGAAACAATGGCCAGGTGCTGGTGGCTCATGCCTATAATCCTAGCTACTCAGGCAGCTAAGAAATGAAGATTGTGCTTCAAAGTCAGACAAAGCAGAAAAGTCTGAGACTCTTATCTCTAATTAAGAGTTAGAACACTGGACGTGGTGCTGTGGCTTGTAGTGGTAGTATGACAGCCTTGAGCATAAAGAGCTCAGGGACAGAGCCCCGGCCCCAAGTTCAAGCCTCACAACCACCACAACAAAAGAAAGAAAAAGAAAGAAGAAACAAACAAAAGATGAGAATCTTAACTCTATTAGCTCAGGAAAGATTTTTTAAAAATATTCACTAGAAAGTGGTGTTTGGGCTTAGAAGGTGGCTCAGTGGTAGAGCGCTTGCCTTGCATATATGAGGCCCTAGGTTTGATTCCTCAGTACCACATAAGCAGAAAAAGCCAAAAGTTGCGCTGTGGCTCAAATGGTAGAGTGCTAGCCTTGAGCTAAAGAGCTGAGGGACAGCACCCAGGCCCAGAGTTCAGGCCCAACGACCACCACCAATAACAACAGTGATTATTTGAGCTGGACCCTGGAGGGTCACGCCTATAATCTTACCTACTCAGGAGGCTGAGATCTCCAGCCCCCTGACAGACCTTGTCTGAAATCCTGACTCTGGAATGGGTCCTAGAATCTGTCTTAACAAGTGATACAGGTAAATTCCATGTCAGATCCACTTTGAAAATCCACTAATCTATATTCTACATTTCAGAATATGAAATTGTGTCTGAAGATGCAACAAGATAGACAAGTAGAGGCCACATTATATAAAATATCACAAGCTATGTTAGGACTTTTGCATATTACCTCAAGTGAATAGAAGGCCCATTGGAGAGAGAGAAAAGGTGGGGTAGAGGAGGAGGGTGCATGTATGTGTGCATGCACACATGCTGGTCCTGGTGCTTGAACACAGGTCCTGGGTGCTGTTCTTAAGTTTAGTGCACTCAAGGCTAGCATACTTTACCACTTGAGCCCTAGCTCCACTTCCTGCTTTTGGCTAATGAGAAATGAGGCTCTTGGACTTTTCTGTCCAGGCTGGCTTTAAACCACAATCCTCAGATCTCAGCCTCCTAAGTAGCTAGGATTATAGGTATGAGCCACAGGCACCTGGCCTGTGGCTATTTTAAAAGATCACACTGCCTACAATTTAAACAAATAGCTTTTTACCTGAATCAAAGAAAGGAAGAAGAAGAAGAAGAGGAAGAGGAAGAAGAAGAGGAGGAAGAAGAAGAAGAGGAAGAGGAAGAAGAGGAAGAAGAGGAAGAGGAAGAAGAAGGAAGAGGAAGAAGAAGGAAGAGGAATAAGAGGGAAGAAGAGGGAAGGAGGAGGAGGAAGAGAAGAAAAGCTGGGTGCTAGTGGCTCACACCTGTAATCCTAGCTACTTAGGAGGCTGAGATCTGAGGATCATGGTTCAAAGCCAGCCCGGGGAAGGAAAGTCCCGTGAGACTCTTATCTCCAATAAACCACTAGAAAACCCAAAGGGGTGCTGTGGCTCAAGTGGTAGAGCACTAGTCTTGAGCTGAAGAGCTGAGGGATAGCGCCTGAGCCCAGAGTTCAAGCTCCACAACCGACCAAAAAAAAAAAGAGGCTAAAGGACTGTTTTAAGTGCAAAGAGCAAATTCCCCAAATTCACTAAGTTCAAACATACATACACACACACATAAGTGGGAAAGAGGAAAAAAGGGAAAGGAGAAGGAAAGCAGAAGTATGTCCCTCAGTCCAATAACCCTCAAGAAAATGAATACTGAAACAAATTCTAGAGTAATCATAACGGTACATCTATACTTTCTGACACTAAAGTCGACCTAGCACCTTCACTCCAGTTCTTTAAGACATCCAGAGTCAGAGGACCAGCTTGTCATAGTTGGATTCCTATCTCACAGAAAAACCACAGAACTTAACTGTAATGATACATCAGTATTTACTTGCAGAAGTTTCTTTTTTTTTTTTTCTTTTTTGGCAGGGGAAGGGAATGGCAGGGATATTTGATTTTAAATGGACAAAGACAAAGACACAAATGCACATCAAGTCTTAAGAAGTAATGAAGGTGCACCAAATGCATGGATTTTGGTTTCTAAAGTCTATGCTCCAGTAAAAGGAACAGTGTTCCTAGGAGAAAAGATTGGGGCAGGAAAATTACAAGATGAACCTGGACTGCCTTTTTGTACTGCAAATGTTAGGGCTCAAGAATAATGAAGACTATATTAAAAGGCCACAACAGCTAGTTTGAAATGGAATGTTATTAGTTAAAAGATAATGTGATCTGAGTAGCAAACTGGTTGTGATGGATTACAATCTACTGAATAAATTAGGAATCTCTGAAGCTACACTACAAAAATCAATGAACAAATAAAGGAAAATGGAAAGATAACTCATTCTTGCAGAAAAATTCCAAATAGTCAATGCAGAAAGAATGATGGAGTTAGAAGATCATTAATAAATGCTAAAAAATACTAGGTGAAAAGTCTGATGAGGAACAAAATACAGAGCCTCAAAATATCTGCTTCCAAATTATTAATAACAAAGGAAAAGTTTTCAACTATACATTAGCACAATCTGGTAACTGTTTCAAGAAAAACCAAAGGGAAATAAAAACCATGTACTTACTGTGAAAAAAACAAGAGAACTTACACTCTATCAGGGTAATATGGAATTTAACTGGCATGGGAAACTTATATTTCTGGGAATACATTCTATATAATTTAGGCTTTGGGAAAACACAAGAATGCACTGCACACTGGAATAATAAACAATAACCAAGTATAGGGGTAAAGTGCCTGAAACTGAATCCAATCAGAAACAAGTGTACTACAAATGGGAAATGTCAGGAGGAGAGAAGGAAAGCACATACAACAGATCTGTTAATAATTGGGGCAAAAGGATTGAACATTACCTTCTACTCTCTTCTACATATCCTTGTCATAGCAATATTGATTAGTAATTCTGAAAGTGTGTTTTTGTTATGTTTAGTAAAACAAAAAGAAGTGTGGTATTACAGAGAAGCTCATTGTGGAAGGAGTACACAAATAGAAAAGAGGAATATAAGGAAGAATGCTGTAAGCTTGGACCAGAACTTGGGGTACCTAAAATAGAAATGTTCCTAGCTCTATCCACTGAAAAGATCTAAAAGCAATAAGTACCAGAAATAATGAGAAAAAATTATAGGCTATTACTTTGGTATCTAAATATTATTCCCCACTTGTACAGAAGGAAAACTCCTTGGAGTCAACTGATTCTAGGGTAGGAAGATAGCTGCTTTCTCACCAAAATGGCTGATTTCACAGATAGGATTTAAAAACAAAATGCTAGATGAGCTTAGATCTTTAAGTTCTAGAAAGAAAATAAATGTTCAAAAACAACAATGTTTAATGCCTGCCATATTAGGAACTGCTAGAAGGTATACCCATGAACCAAAAGTATTATATGAACATGAAGTTAGTGAAGTCAATAAATTATTACCCAGTGACTAAGTATCATATTGATGATTATTAGATAGGAAAAAAGATGACTGGTAGGAAGTAAAATAATAGATACTATAGAGATAGGACATAATGGATGTATAGACTAACATAAAAATAAACTTTAAGAGCTGGGAAGGTGGCTCAGTGGTAGAGTGCTTGCCTTGCATGCTTGAGGCCCTGGGTTCGATTCCTCAGCACCACATAAGCAAAAATAAAAAAGCCGGAAGTGGCGCTGTGGTTCAAGTGGTAGAGCGCTAGCCTTGAGCTGAAGAGCTGAGGGATAGCACCCAGGCCCAGAGTTCAGGCCCCATGACCGGACCCCAAAAAATAAAAAATAAATAAGCTTTAAAACAAACAGTGGTATAAATAATTCTGTGTGTTAGGGGCTGGGAATGTGGCTTGATAGAGTGCTCACCTTAGCATGCATGAGGTCCTGGGTTCAATTCCTCAGCACCACATACATAGAAAAGGCCAGAAGTGATGCTGTGGACCAAGTGGTAGAGTGCTGGTCTTGAGTTCAAACCTCAGGACTGGCATTAATAATAATAATAATAATAAAAGTAATAATAACAACAACAACAACTGTGTGTGTCTGTGTGTGTGTTTGATCTTTAACCTGGTTCTTGACATAAGGCTTCTCAAACCTTGGAATTTCCAGAACTAGGATACCTATGCTTATGTTTATGAGGTAACAGAGTAAGCTCTCAGACAGTTTCAAGGGGGGGAGGGGTAGTCACTGGAAGGAATAAAAGCACACAGCATGATTAGAAGGTTGAAAATGTCAGGACATTCTCCCACTCATCCTGGTGGCCACCTCCAACCTGTAAAGGTGGTAGCTGAATATAGTTAAATCACTTACATAATGCTTTAGCCAAGCTAAATCAACCCTATCTGTAAAGAAACCTCAGGCAAAAATTCTGAAAGGACCAAGCTTAGGTAACTTCCCAGCTAGATGATATACCTGTAAAGAGCAAAAAGGTTCTGCCTCACAACCTTGTCCTATGTACTTCTTCCAATTGGGTGTTTCTTAGTTGTACCAATTATGATAAAACTTTAATAATAACCATGAATGTTTCTCTGGGTTATTCTAACAAAACATTTTATGGGCCGGTCGCCAGTGGCTCACGCCTGTAATCCTAGCTACTCAGGAGGCTGAGATCTGAGGATTGCGGTTAAAAGCCAGCCCAGGCAGGAAACTCCATGAGACTCTTATCTCCAATAAAAAAAACTCACTAGAAAACCAGAAGTGGCGCTGTGGCTCAAGCAGTAGAGCGCTCTCCTTGAGCTGAAGAGCGTAAGGACAGTGCCCAGGCCCAGAGTTCAAGCCCCATGACCGACAAATTGCTGCTGAAACACCAAATGAAGATTAAATGAGGTTCTTCTTTATAATAGGCAGAGGAAACGCGTGGAAGATGAGGTGGAGTTGAAAAACAAGGATTTTTGCACCACAGTAACCCCATCCAACCTTGAGGTTTATCTTATACTTTTACCAAGTATAACTATTTCTGGTGATTTGGAAATTCCTGGTTCATTGAGTTAGATATATTTTTGTTGTGTAATTAATTATAGCCAGTCTCATTAGATAAAACTTTGTAAACATTAGTAGGCACCAAGTTCAAATGGAAGACACAAGGTGTCTAAGTTTTAATATTTGATTGAAGGAAAACATCCAAAAAATACTGGACTATGTTTATGATATGCTTTATCTTCACAGATCCTAAAAAAGGATTGGGGATGCACCAAAAGTACTATAAACCACCACTCAGAAACGTGGCACTACAGCATCTTTACATCACAAATGTACTCTGTTTCAGTATCATGTGGTACTATAAGTCACTTTACAGCTAGCTTCCTACTTCATTTAAAGTTGAAATAGCTCATACATAATTTTTTAAAATAACTAGACTCTTAAATTTCAGCATTATAAAAATTTGTTAAATCAAATACCAAACTAGTAATTTTTAACTTAAGCATTTTTCTTATAAGCTAATTTTTTTTTTTTAGGTCAGTCACAGGGCCTGAACTCTGGGCCTGAGCTGTTCCTCAGCAATTCAGCTCAAGGCTAGCGCTCTACCACTTGAGCCACATCGCCATTTCTGGCCTTTTCTGCTTATGTGGTGCTGAGGAATCAAACCCAGAGCCTCATGCATGCAAGGCAAGCACTCCACCACTGAGCCACCTTCCCAGCCCTAGGAGAAATATTTAAAAGCCATTCAACATTGTTTTTCTTACAGTACACTGTTCAATACCTTCTCTCGAGAGAGGTTTTCCAAATATGAAGTCAGATTGTTTATTTCTTTGTCTTTCTCTGCCAACTGAAGCTGAAAATAAAGAAATTATCATTATTGTTTTGTTTTGTTGTGTTCGGTGGGGAGTGGAGAGTGCAAAACTGGGGTCTGAACTCAGAACTTCCAACTGGTTTGGCTTGTGGGCTGGCTGACAATAATCAAACCTGGTTTTTTTTTTTTTTTTTTGCTGATTAATTTGGAAAGTCTCATCTTTTCTGCCCAGTGAGTTTCAAATTGAAATCATCTGGATCTACGCATCTTGAGTTGATTATAGTTGTAAACTATTGGTACTAAGCTTGGTTGATTTTTCAAACAGGATTTTTCTTTTTTTTTTTTTGGGTCCGGTCGTGGGGCCTGAACTCTGGGCCTGGGCACTGTCCCTCAGCTCTTCAGCTCAAGGCTAGCGCTCTACCACTTGAGTCACAGTGCCACTTCCGGCTTTTTTCTTTTTGCTTATGTGGTGCTGAGGAATCGAACCCAGGGTCTCAGGCATGCAAGGCAAGCACTCTTCCACTGAGCCACCTTCCCAGCCCCCAAACAGGATTTTTCTATGTAGACCAAGCTGACCTCAAACTCACATTCTCCCTACTTCTACTTCCCCAGTACTGGAATTACAGACATGCAATTACCATACCTAAGTACATTTTCTCTATTATCTAATTTCTCCTCATACTTCAGATTCATTTTATATTGTTATATCAAAACAATTCACTTACCTACATATCCCAGGCTGATGTCAAACTCAAAATCATCTTGCTTCCATTTCCCAAGTGTTGGAATTACAGGTATACCCTACCATACGTAATTCAATTTTTTTCCATTATCTGTTTTGTCCTTATACTTGAGATTTTACACCATCCTATCAAAGTAATACCTATTGCCAAATCCATGCATTTTCCTCAGTTTTTGGTATTTGGTTTCTAACTTGTCATTATTGACTAATCTCTGTAGTATTAGATTTACTCCTGCTGGGCACTGGTGGTTTATATCCTAACTACACAGAACATTGAGAACTGAAGATCAAGGTTCAAAGCCAGCCCAAGTAGGAAAGTTCATGATACTCTTATCTCCAATTGAGCACCAAAATGAGCCAGAAGTGGAGCTGTGGCTCAAGGGCTGTAGTAGTAGTTAGCCTTGACAAGCAAAAGCTCAAGAACAGTGCCTAAGCTCTAAATTCAAGACCTTGAGTGCAAGCCCAAGGACTGAACAACAACAACAAAAATCTTTGGAGCTGGATACCTGTCCAGTCTATCACAAAACAAACTATTCCTTTGGCTTATGTGAAACAGCATTCCCTTTCCTTTTCTTAGAGCTATTACTTCTTCCCAACCACATTCCCCTTCTTTTCTTAGAACTATTACTTCTTCCCAATCACAAATAGGAGTACTTTACCATGTTTCTTCTCTCTGAAAGTTTTCTTCACATTTCTAACTATCAAACCCATGGAAATAAACCACAGACATTAACTTATGACCATGCTCTTTCCCAAGTTCCAAATTTGTACTTTTAATTGAGATGTAAAATGCTCCAAGTCTACTTTTTCTAAGCTGGCTTTTATGAATATTTTCTTCTGTAAATAAACTATGCTATGTATTTATAGTTACACTGATTATAATTCATTTATTAAAAACTGAAAAATCAATATCCATATACATTAGTATTGTGGCTTTAAATGTATGGATGTGATGGCTAATTATAATCTATCTTTTGTGCATGTATGAGGAAGCTGTTCTGAGGTTTGAATTCAGGGTCTTGCGCTTACTAAGTAAGCACTGTACCACTAAAGCCATGCTTCCAGCCCAAATTTTATCATTTAATTTTGCTTCTATCTTTTTTCTCTTTTTTTGGTGCTGGTACTGGGGCTTGAACTAAGCACCTCATACTCTTGCTTGGCTTTCACTGAAGGTTGACGCTTTACTACTTCACTTGAGCCACATTTCCATTTCTGGGGGGGTTTTTTTTGGCTGGTAATTTGAAATGAAAGGCTCACAGAGTTGTCTACCCAGCTGGTTTCAAATCAGAATCCTCGGGTCTCATACACCTAACTGGCTGAGAATTTAGATGTGAGCCACTAAAGCCAGCAAGTTTGCTTGTTGTTAAAGATGAAAAGTGATCATTTCATTATCCCCTTCTTTTTCTAATAAAATTTTCATAAAAATGTTAAATACTTTGAGATGTTTACATTTTTGAAGTGTAATATAGGTCATAAGCAATTTAAAGAAATTATTCCATACTTGAGCCAGGTATTGGTGGTACATGCCTACAATTCTAGCATTTAGAGGTGAGTGGGCTACTGAATCAAGACTGAGTTCAATGCTAACCTAGGCTACATAACCTAAATATTTGTTATTATTAAAATATTAACACTTTAATATTAAAAGTTTGACTAAAAAGAACCTTCAAAATGTACAATAAATGCTGGGAACCAGTGGCTCACACCTTAATCCTTAGCTACTCAGGGGACTAAGATCTGAGGATTGTGATTTGAAGCCAGCCCAAGCAGTAAAGTCCATGAGACAATAACTACCCCAAAAGACATAAGTAGAACTGTAGTTCAAGTGGGAGAGCACTAGCCTTGAGCAAAAAAGATTAGGAATAGCACTCAGACCCTGAGTTCAAGCTCCAGGACCAATACCAAAAAAGAAGACATATACATTATATTGGTAAAAAAAAAAAAAGGTAACATGTCTTTAAAATTATCAGGTACAGCTAAGTATTATGCCTCACGTTTGCAAACAATGGAGAAACTTACTTTATAATTATCCTCTACTTCAGTTAGTTCAAGTTTTACATTTTCAGCAACTTTCACTTGTTCTTTCCATTTCAGCTCCATTACTGCAAGTTCATCAGCATATTTACTGCATTTGGTTTTCTCATCCTAAACAAAATTAGTATAATTACAAAAAGATTTAAAATCCATACAAAACATACATCCATAAAACATACCTAGATACATGCTAAATGTTTATTAGAATATTAATAGTATAAAAATTGACAGGCTGGTAATGTGGCCTACTGGTAAAGTGCTTACCTAGCATGCATGAAGCCCTGGGTTCAATTCCTCAGTACCACATAACCAAAACAAACAAACAAGAAAAGCTGGATGTAGAACTGTGGCTCAAATGGTAGAGTGCTATCTTTGAGCAAAAAGAAAGTCAGGGACAATGCTCAGGCCCTGAGTTCAAGCCCCAGGACTGGCCAAAAAAAAGAAAAAAGGAAATGGCCAAATATTTATCGGCACAAGAATGAATATATCATTCAATATCCACAAAAAGTAATAGCGTATTACTTACTTAAAGAAAACAAAGTACAGCGGAGAGCTGGTTGTTCACACCTATAATCCTATTCAGGAAAATGAGATCTGAGGATTGTATTCAGAGTAGCATGGGCAGGAAAGTCCATGAAATTTGGATCACCAATAAACTACCTCTCTACCCATGCCAAAAAAAAAAAAGCCAGAAGTGGACAGTGCCCAATTCCTGAGTTTAAGATCTAGGACTGGCGCCTGGGCGCGCGCGCGCGCACACACACACACACGTAGATGTATAAATTGATAGGAAAAAATGACACTACATTAATTCAAAATATAACTGAAAATAGCATGTGGCAAAAACCAAATATGTAGCATAATCCTATTTTTTAGTAGTTGTTTTATATAATTACATACAATGTATATGTGTTTACAGAAAAATATAAAACAAATAATATTAGGTGATTAGGAACACTTAAGTACTATGTATCATCACTATTCTTTGTATCTGTAATGCCATAAAGTTTCACAGTAAGTATATATTAATTTTTGCAAAAGGAGGAAATCAAAATAATTTATAATGGCTGCTTTTGCTTTTGCTTTTTTTTTTGGGGGGGGGGGGGGCCAGTCCTGAGGCCTGAACTCTGGGCCTAGGCGCTGTCCCTCAGTAATTCAGCTCAAGGCTAGTGCTGTACCACTTGAGCCACAGCGCCACTTCCGGCTTTTTTTTTTGCTTATGTGGTGCTGAGGAATCGAACCCAGGACCTCATGCATGCAAGGCAAGCGTTCTACCACTGAGCCACCTTCCCAGCCCTTGGCTGCTTTTTCTTATAACCCAAAACATCATAAAATTACAAATCATGACAAATAGGCTAATTGTATTTTGAATTTATTTTTTCATGGTGAAGTTCAAAAATGTACTTAGAGCAATTCAGTGGAGAAAGAAAATATCTTTGAAGTGATCATTCAAGATCAGCTCCATGCCATATACTCTGTATCTCATACCATAGACAAAAACTAACTCAAGAGGGTTCAAAGACTTAAATGTAAAGCCTTAAAGTATAGCTCACTAGTATAGCTTTTCCCTAGTGTGTGTGATACGCTCTTTGTCTAGCACCACAAAAAAAAAAAAAAAAAATGAAAATCTCCCAGAAGACATTACATGAGAAAGCTTTATCACTTTAGAATATGTGAAAATACATTCTAAAGGGCAAAAATATTTAAGAATTGATACACTATCAAAATTTAATTTTAATTTCCTAAAAACACCATTAAGGAATAAAAAAATCAAGCTACACACAAAAAGAAAGTATCTAAGCATATATATTAATTAGAGAAAGGAACTGTCTCTAGAATATACGACAATTATATAATTTTTAAATAGCAAAAGACTTGAACACTCATTTTAATATAATATACATATATACATATACATGCATATACATATATATATATACATATACATATATATATATATATAAAAGAAAGGACTGACAAGCATAGAAAAAGAAGTCCAGCATCAAGTGGAAATAGAAATTAAAACCATGCTGACATATCCATTACATACTCATTGCACTGACTACAAAACAAAAAATGGTATAATATTACTATGCAAAACAATTTTTTTTTTTGGGTCCGGTCATGGTGCCTGGGCACTGTCCCTCAGCTCTTCAGCTCAAGGCTAGCGCTCTACCACTTGAGCTATAGCGCCACTTCCGGCTTTTTTTTCTTTTTGCTTATGTGGTGCTGGGGAATCGAACCCAGGGCAGGGCCTCAGGCATGCAAGGCAAGCACTCTACCACTGAGCCACCTTCCCAGACCCGCAAAACAATTTTCTTTAGAACATTCACCTACTACCAAATCAACTAGTTATTTCACTCCCAGATACTAAGACAAACAAAAGCAGTTAGGTCCAATCAACTTGTACAGAAATATTCATAGCAAGTTTATTTGTAACCATCAACAACAACCCCAAATGCCCATCCACTGGTGAATAAACAAATTATATTAGTCATATAACAGGCTATAATACCAGTAATAAAGAGGAATGAACAATATAAAGAACTTGGTATATTCTCAAAATAATTATGCTGCAAGGGGGAAGGAAAAAAAGAGTGTTTCATTTTATATAATTTTACCAAAGTGAACCTATTACACTGTCAGTACTAATCACCTCTTTTGCAAAAGCTTCTTCCCAAGTAATAAAGAAAAACAGTTCAAAATTCAATTGAAAGATACTATTTTTAAGTACCAAAGATATTTTAAATTACTATAGTAACTGTGAGCTATAAATTTCATTCTGTAGACCTAAAAAAGCATTCTTACCACATGCAAACAAACACAAAAATCTAGTTAAACCAAAGTCACACAAAGTAACTTTCCTCTCTACTATAAATAGTGACTTTCAGGAACGTATGTTATCAAGAAGGCTACAAAACTGAACAGTATGTATGAATAAAGCTTCATGTCTGGGGATTTTGTTTTGTTTTTGAGGCAGTCTTGCTATATAACTTGGGCTAACCTTAAATTCCTCTAATTCAGTTTCTCTACTTCTGAGGTTATAATCTCAATTAACTGTTCTTTATCCAAACAAGGACATTTCACTATGTTAACAGAAAATATTGACTACAGAATCATGATTTTATGCTACAGACCTGTAGCTACAGGGCCCAAAACTCTAAAAGTGAAAGTAGATATAAGAAAGGAATGGAGAATGGAACATCCCTAGGATACAGTTCAACAGAGGCAACAGTTAGACTAAGACATTGATATTTGATAAACCCACATTCACTTAAGAAGGAGGTAACTGACCTGCAATAGTTGTTTGCATTTATTATACTTTTCTGTTTTGTCAGCAATTTCTTTGGTCATTTCACAGACTTGACCCTTCGTTAGCATGTCAAAATCTTTCTCTGCTATAACAAGGTATAAAATTAAGAGTTTGTTAAAAAGTATTTGCCCTTTATATTATTATCCTGTTCAGAAATACTTAAGAGCTAGTGTGTGTGTGTGTGTGTGTGTGTGTGTGTGTATATAGTGTTCATATATTAGTATAATATACATCATATTATATTACATAGTATATGTTATAATACTGAAGGATCTGTCTCATGAATATGATCATTTTTACATAACAACTTTTAAATAATCTAGGATGGAACCAAGGCCACATCTAATAATGAAAAAGCCACTGTATTTTATAATTTGCTAAAAATAGTTCCAAAATGTTCAAATATTGTTCTCCTTATATAATTTATTAAAAAGAATAAGAAACCTATCTTCTTGAGAATATATTTTAAATCATTCTTCTAATACTTCATTATCATTCACAAAGTTTACTGAGTACTCTGCAACATTTCTGGTTAAACATCACTAATTCTAAAATATGAAATTCAACTTTCACTGGAAAAAAATGCTCCAAAACTAGAAATATTTTTAACACTACTGTAATACTGAAAATAGCATTTCAGAGTTCAGATTTTCAGAACAGAAACAATCAACCAGTTTAAAAATCTAAGCAAATGTCCTAACATATAAAAAAAAACTGAAATCTGAAAACAATTCTGATTCTGAACATTTCAGAAAAGTGATACTCATGAAGAGGACACAAAAATGGAAGGCCAGAGTCTGTCCTATGGAAACCAAAATTCTTTAATACTTAATGGTCTAGGATATTTATGTTCAAAAAGACTATAGTATCAATTAGCCCCACACTGAGCAAAGAAATGTGCTTTCTTTAGTACTGGCTTTCCTACTGTCAAATCTCTGATTTATGTAAAAGAGGGAGGTAAAAAAAAAAAACAAGAAAAGGCAAACTGGGCGTCCATGGCTCACGCCTAGCTAGTATCCTAGCTACTCAGAAGGCTAAGATCTGAGGATCATGGTTCAAAGCCAGCCAGGCAGGAAAGACCGTGTGGTGAGATTCCTATCTCCAATAAAAACCACCAGAAAACTGGAAATGGCGCTGTAGCTCAAGTGGTAGAACACTGCCTTGAGCTGAAGAGCTGAGGGACAGCGCCCAGGCCCAGAGTTCAAGCCCGTGACTGACAAAAAAAAGAAAGAAAGAAAAGAAAAAAAGGGAAAACCTAGAGTTTATTCAAATTTTCCTATCAATCACATGGTTTATTATGTTCCTAATTTATACTACAGTATTTGTATAATTAAAAATGTAACTCACCAGCCAACAGGTACACTAATGAAAAAAGTACTCTAATGCCCCCCAAAGCAGCCCCCAAAATCAAACCCTAGGGGGCGTGAAAAGGGGGGAGAGAAAAAAATGTAAGAACAAATAATAAATATTTGCTCTACAGAATTATAAAATTAAAAGATTACAAATAAAGTTCTTCAAAATTTCATAGATTTACAGTATAAAGTAAAAATTCAATTTTAGTGTTAGGAAATCTTCAGTGTCATTATATGGGCTACTCAATGCATAATCAAAGCATCAATATGAATATTAGTTCACACTCATGTTCTGTATGTTCACACTCAAACATATTACTATACTTACACCACTTTTCCCTTTTTTCCATTCCCTCACAAATAGGATTTTAACAAGCACCCTGATAGTCTCACATGGAAGAGCCAGTGTAAGTTAGCATACTTTCCAACAGCAAAAGTAGACTTTTTACCGGCAGAATGTAGTGGTTGCTTTACATCTGTAGCAGATGAAGATGTGGCTGGGTCGGTGTTTATTGAAGCATCATTCACTTTCTGCTGATTACCAATCTTCTTTATGAAGACAGTATTGTTATTATTGGCCTATTCAAAATGAATTCATTGTAAACAATTGCAAAATCTCCACAAATTTAGTCATAATACTTTCCTTCAGTAAATATGTAAACAATCACAAAAGGGAAGTCTGAAAGTCTGCACAGCTACTGTTTTTGTTGTTGTTGTTGCTGATTTTGTTACTGATTTTTTTTGTTGCTGTCGGGTTATTTTGTTTTTTTTTTTTTGTTGGACCTGGGTGCTGTCCCTCTTCAGCTCAAGTCTTGCACTCTACCACTTGAGCCACAGAGCCACTTCAGGTTTTCTAGTGGTTTATTGGACATAAGAGTCTCATGGACTTTCCTGCCCCCATTGGCTTTGAACCAGGATCCTCAGATCTCAGCCTCCTGTGTAGCTAGGATTACAGGCGTGAGCCACCAGCACCCAGCTCCAGCCAAGTTTTTATTGGCTTTTAAAACAACAGTAGGGTTGGGAGCCGGTGGCTCATGCCTTGTGATCCTAGCTACTCAGGAGGCTGAGATCTGAGGATCACAGTTCAAAGCCAGCCCATGCAGGAATGTCTATGAGACTCTTTTATCTCCAATGAACCACCAGAAAACCGAAGTGGTGCTGTGGCTCAAATGGTAGAGCACTTGCCTTGAGCTAAAGAGCTGAGAGTTGAAGACTCACAACTGACAAAAAAAAAAACATGGCTGGAGGCATAGCTCAAGTGGTAGAGCAACTGCTTAGGAAGTATACTGTCCCAAACTCAAACCCCAGTACTAACAAAACATTAAAAATAAAGTAAAAAGAGTCAAAAGACTAAAGTCATACATACCTTCATCAATTTAAATGCAAAAGAAAACATTTTCAGTCTGGGAAGGTAGCTTAGTGGCAGAAGGCTTGCGTAGTAGCATGCATGAAACCCTGGGTTCTATTCTCAGTACCACATACACAGAAAAGGCTGGAAGTGGTGCTGTGGCTCAAGTGGTAAGTGCTATCCTTGAGCAAATACAGCTCAGAGATAGTGCCCAGGCCCTGAGTTCAGGCCCCATGACTGACAGAGAAAGAGAGAGAGAGAAAGAAAGAGAAAGAGAGAAAGGGAGGGGGGCTGGGAAGGTGGCTCAGTGATAAAGTGCTTGCCTTGCATGCATGAGGCCCTGGGTTCGATTCCTCAGCACCACATAGCAGAAAAAGCTGGAAGTGGCACTGTGGCTCAAGTGGTAGAGCACTAGCCTTGAGCTGAAGAGCTGAGGGACAGTGCCCAGGCCCAGAGTTCAGGCCGCACAACAGGCAAAAAAAAAAGAAAAGAAACCCATGTGAGAGAAAGGGAAGGGAAGAAGGAGAGGGAGAAAGGGAGAGGGAGGAGGAGGGGGAGAGAGAGAGAGAGAAAGAGAGAAAGAAAGAAGAAAGAGAAAGAAAAGAAAGGAGAGAGAAAAAAACATTTTCTAGTGACAAAGAAGAAGCATTCATAGATATCTCGCAATCTCAAGTTTTCCTTAAATCGGCCACCAAAATCTTTCCATAAAACACATAAACTATGTTGTTCACAAAAGCCTTCCCACTAAACTATATACTCCCTTTGTCTGCTTTCAGATTAATAGTTAAGACCAGAAAAATAGCATTATGTACCACATATTCCAAGACAATGATGGTCTACTTTCAATTCCAGATTTTAAATGTGTTTTTTCTACACTCCCAAGAGTCCTTCACATATCTCATATCACATCTCATATTTACATATTATTTAGATCCATAAATATACAAATCCAAATAATTTTCTGTGCTTTACTACAAATCTGCCTACCTATTCTCAAATGAAATACAGAAAACTAAGCTAGCACTGCTTAATTTTTCTTTATCTGCTGGGTATGAATAGAAGAACTCACTAAAGACAATGAAAAAAGCAGTGATATCTAAACCATAGAGATGGATCAATGGTGAATCTCAACAAAGACAAATAACTTTATCATAAGAGATTCAATAATATAGAGAGAGTTTTAAGTGATAAAGATATTAATCAAGAACTTAAGGGCTGGGATGTAGCTCAGTGGCAAAGCACTTGCCTAGCAAGTGCAACATCCTTGGTTCAATCCCCAGTACCAAAAAAGGAAAAAACAAAAGAAAAAAAAGAACTTAAAAGAATAATCATCTAAGAAGAGAATGGTTTCTCTTGTTCGTTCTTGCTGAAGCTTGTGCTACATTTACTGGTTCTTCTGTTAGAAAAACAAACAAACAAACAAAACAAAACAAAAAACCTCCTGATTTGAAAAGAAAAAACAATTGTTATACATCTTGCAGATAGCAAGATAAGCTGGTAAACCAAAACCTGGACAATGAAATGGGGGCAGTGAGCTAGGGAGAGAGGGAGGGAAGGAAGGAAGGAAGGAAGGAAGGAAGGAAGGAAGGGAGGGAGGGAGGGAGGGAGGGAGGGAGGGAGGGTAAGAAGGATAAAAGAATGAGGAAATAAGGAACAGGACACTAGGTGCCACAACTATATAGGAAACAAAAAGGAGACCCATGCAATCAAAAAGCCATTTTCAGGGACTCCAATGTCATGTAACAAGAAAGATGAGCTGAAGTACTGTCTTCCCCATGGCTTATCTACGGCATGTACTGTCTTGTTCTTTGCTATACTTCCTTTCTAATAAAGTTCCCTGTTATCTCTACTATGCTTGTATGTTGCCTGAATTTTTCTCTTGCTGGACAGAAGAACCAAGGTCAACTTGACTGCCCTAAATTTCCCATAATGAATTTTGGTACATTGAGAACCAAGGGATTAAGTATATCATTTTCGGATTAGCAGTAATAAAAGGTAACATATTTTGGTGCCATGACTCATATGTGGATGGCTGTTTTGAAAGTAACACTATTAAAACAAAGGCTTGAAATCAAAAGACAACTTATTTATAATACTTATATATGTATTATTATATATGTTATTTATAAACAAAAAGTGGATGAGGAAAATTACTATGCAGGTATCCAGTGATACTTACTGACTGATCTGAAAGTCTGTTTATATGTTTCTGGAGCCTCTGGCATTCCTTAAATTTTTCTTTATAATGATCTGCAGCCATTTGAAGACGGAGTTTCAGATCTTCAACTTCTCTTCGTAGTTCATGTTCCAGTGTACCATTTCTCTCCTAAAAAAGAAAAAGAAAAAAAGAGCCCTCACACCTCATAATGTAATAGTAAATCTCAACTTCATTTTCACATTTTTCTTCTGGCTTTTAATTTTTATTGTTTTGGCTACAGAGCCACACTAATTCTCCTAATAAATCCAGCTTTATATTCTTAAACTAAGATTCCTTTAAAAACTAGAGGAAAATAATCTACCTCCTGAGGAGCAATTATTACTCTTGTAAATAACCATAATATCATTTTATATAGCTAGTAAACAAGAAGTTCCAAACAAGGCAATATATACCTGACATCAAACATATTTAATAGAGGTTTTACTAGCCTGAGGAAATGTGCTGACAGAAGTTTTTCTTGAGGCTTAATTTCAACCCAAAGGGTCATAATGATTAAGCAAAATGAATGGAAAAATGTAAAACTCTGATAAGGAATGTGACCTGACTTGGGACTTCACAGTGGTTTATGGATCAACTGAGTAATTCAAAGGTAACTTTTGTTTTGTTTTGGATGGTCGTGGGGCCTGAACTCAGCCTGGGCACTGTTCCTCAGCTCTTCAGCTAAAGGCTAGTACTCTATCACTTGAACTACAGCGCCACTTCCGGCTTTTTCTGCTTATGAGGTGCTCAGGAATCGTACCCACAGCCTCATGCATGCAAGGCAAGCCCTCTACCACTGAGCCCCCTTCCCAGCCTCAAAGGTAACTTATTTTACCTGTTCTTTCTTAACAGCACTTAGTTTAAGTTCTGCTAGTGCATCAGCTAATTGCTTTTTCACTTTCTCATTTTCCAGGCGCACAGTGTGTAAATCTGCCATTGTTTTATCTCGCACATTTACAGCATCACTAAGTTCTTTAGAAAGAAAGACAACTTCTTGTCGAGTTGCCTGAACCTGTTCCTCTGCTTTGCGAAGTTGCTCCTTTAAAACAAATGCATCTTCCTAAGGAGAAAGGAAAAATAAAGCTATAAGTCACTCAAATAAATAAAAAAGCAGCAGAAACTAGCTTTAAACATATTTTTGATCAGAAGATTTATGTATAAGATGTTATAAAAAAACTGAAGACTTTTTTTCATTCACCATGTATCTACCCTACAAAGGATAAATTGCCACTAATTTATTCATGAAGAATTGCAGTATAAGACGTTAGACCACACACCAGAGCTTAAAGTCTTGACTGAAAGAAGGCTCCAAAATGCAAAGAATGAGATCCTTCCAAACTCTGCAACTAAAATTAACCCTCATTTTTTGTAATTATCATAAAACAATTTCAAAACTCTTTTTTGTGTATGTGCCAGTCCTGGGGCTTGAACTCAGGGCTTGGGCACTTCACTGAGTTTTTTTGTTCATGGCTAGAGTTCTACCACTTGAGCTACACCTCCACTTCTGACTTTTTGGTGGTCAAGAGTGTCACAAACTTTCCTGCCAAGGTTAGCCTTGAATGATAATCCTCCAATCTCAGCCTCCTGAGTAGTTAGGATTAGGCATCAGCCACCAGTGCCTGGCTCAAAATTTTTGGTTTAAAGATTTTTTTTTTTTCACACATACCTATAGTCCTAGTAATTCAGTAGGCTGAGATCTGAGAATCATGTTTTGAAGACAGCCATGTCACACAAATCCAAAAGACTCTTATATCCAAATTTCTGGCAAAAGCCAGAAATGAAGTCAAAGCTTAAAGTGGTAGTAGCAGGCATAAGCAAAAAAAAAGTCAAGCAAGAGTTTGAGGCCCTGAGTTCAAGCCCCAGTTAGTGGCAAAAATTAAAACTGAATAAATAGGGCTAGGAAGGTGGCTCAATGGTAAAGTGCTTGCTTCACATGCATGAGGTCCTGGGTTCGATTCTCAGCACCAAGTAAGCAGAAAAGGCCAGAAGTAGTGCTGTGGCTCTAGTGGTAGAACACTAGCTAGCCTTGAACTGCAGAGCTAAGGGACAGCGCCCAGGCCCAGAGTTCAGACCCCATGTCCAATAAAAACAAACAAACAAACATCTGACAATCTGAATTGAAACCTCCTTGTACTACTTAAAAGTAATTTTAAAAAATGTTTTTAAAGATTTTTCCATTGTGGTACACAGCTATAATCAACACTACTGAGGAGTCAGAGGTAAGAATATCACAGCCTGAGACCACCCCTGGACAAAATTTCAGAACTCTATCTGAGTGAAAAACAAAATAAAACAAAAAAACTGACCACATTGCTCAAGAGTGTTTGCCTAGAAAACACAAGTTTCCTACTCCCTAACTAAAAAGGGACATCTAGTACAGTATTAATCTACGGTTCTACATTACAAAAACACAAAACAGAATTTACATTAAAAGGTGGGGGTTTTTTTGGTATTTATTTTAGGGTTTTTTTTTTTTTTTTGGTCAGTCATGGGACTTGAACTCTGGGTGCTGTCCCTTAGTTCTTCAGCTCAAAGGAAGCACTCTACTACTTCAGCCACAGTGCCACTTTGGGTTTTCTGGTGGTTAATTGGAGTTAAGAGTCTCACAGACTTTCCTGCCCAGGCTGGCTTTGAACCAGGATTCTCAGATCTCAGCCTCCTGATTCAATAGGATTACAAGTGTGAGCCACCAGCAGCACCCAGCTACATTAAAAGTTTTAAACCCAAAATCCTGTTTTATAACTAGTAAAAGATAGTATTGGTAAAATAAATGTCCTCCCACCAACTGAGTAAAGAACAGGATGTTTAAATAATCTCCAAGTATTATTCAAAGATTTCTTAATAATCAGAAAAAGAAAAAGCTTATCTACAATAACAAGCAAATCTAACTTAAAAAAAAATTACCAGGCACTGGTAGCTCATGCCTATCATCCTAGTTACTCAGTAGGCTGAGATCAGAGGATTGAGGTTCAAAGCCAGCCCATTCAGGAAATTCCGTTAGACTCTTATCTCCAATAAACCACCAAAAAACTGGAAATGGCACTGTGGCTCAAGTGGTAGAGCACACCTTGAGCTGAAGAGCTGAGGGACAGTGCCTAGGCCCAGAGTTCAAGCCCTATGATCTACCAAAAAAAAAGATTACCAAACCTAATAAGAATGGAACAAATTAAGCCAGGTACCCAGTAGCTCGTGCCTGCAATCCTAGTTACTCAGGAAGGTAAAGACCTTGGTTCAAAGCCAAGCTAGGCAACAAAGTCCCTGAGAATCTATCTCCAAAATAAGTAACAAAAAGCAAGACTGGAAATACATACCAGTAGCTCACATCTATAATCATACCTACTCAGGAGGCTGAGATCTGAGTATCAAGGTTCAAAGTCTGGCCAGGCAGGCAAGTCCATGAGACTTTTATCTCCAAATAACTGCCAAAAAGCTAGAAGCAGAGCTGTAGCTTAAGCTGCAGAGTGCTAGTCTTGAGCACAAAACTCAGAAACAACACTCAGGCACTGAGTTCAAGCTCCAATACTGACACAATTAAAAAATAAAATAAGGGGAGCTGGGAAGGTAGCTCAGTGGTAGAGCGCTTGCCTTGCATGCCTGAGGCCCTGGGTTCGATTCCTCAGCACCACATAAGCAAAAAGAAAAAAGTTGGAAGTGGTGCTGTGGCTCAGGTGGTAGAGCGCTAGCCTTGAGCTGAAGAACTGAGGGACAGCGCCCAGGCCCAGAGTTCAGGCCCCACGACCGGACCCAAAAAATAAAAAATAAAAATAAAATAAGCTAGCAAGAGCCCATCTCAATCAAGGTAGGCATGGTGCATACCTGTAATCCCAAATACATGGGAGGCCATACATAAAAGGATCACAGTCTGAGACCAGCTAGGCAAAAACTAGATATCCTAGCTGAAAAGTAAAGCAAGGGCTGGGGGCATGGCTTAAGCAATAGAGTGGCTAAGTAGCAAGCAAAGTCCTGAATTTAAACTTTAGTACTTCCAACAAAGAAAACAAAAAAGAATGGCAAAATAACTATTCACTCTTCTGCTCTTTCAACTTTTAGTTTTCAACTTTTTCAAAATAAATAAATGGGTAAACTTTAAAAACAAGTGAAAATGTAATAAAAGCAATCAAATTACACACATTTAATAGAGACATTTAAAATCTCCATATCCACCAAAGAAAGTACTTACTTTATTTGAGGTTGTAAGCAAGAAAGCCCTTTGCAGATTTTCCTTTTCAGCCAAACACGACTGCAGTCTTCCAACCTCTTCCTTGAAATGAGTAATCATGCTTTCTTTGTTTCCATCTAAATTCTTTAAAGTCTGAACCTCTGACACAAGCTTTGTATTTTCTATTTCTGTATTCTTCAAGTGCACCTGTAACAGCATTTGGAAATTTGGGCTGGGAATATGGCTTAGCGGTAGACCGCTTGCCTAGCATGCATGAAGACCTGGGTTCTATTCCTTAGTACCACATAAACAGAAAATGTCAGAAGTGGCATTGTGGCTCAAGTGGTACAGTACTAGCTTTGAGCTAGTACTTGAGTGTTTAAGCCCCAGGACTGGCAAAAAAAAAAAAAAAGAAAAGAAAAAGAATATTCTTTCTAATGCCATAACCTAAGTTAGAGATGAATAGTGGCATGATATTTATGTCTAATAGAAAAAATTTCCCTACTTCAAAACAGTTCTAATTAAAAAAAAAAAAAAAGAACTGGGTATGGTGGTACATGCCTGAAATCCCAGTACCTGAAAGCCTGGAACAGGATCTCAATTTTGAAGCTAACACGACCTACATCACAAGTTCTAGGCTAGTACAGCCTAGCTAGCCTGTACAGTAAGACTTGCCACAGAAAAATAAAAAATGGAAAATGGAAAAGCAACATAAAGTCAAATAACATAAAATAAAATACAAACCAAAATTAAAATAAAGGAAGGAACAAGTGTTGAGAGCAAAGTCCTCCAAATGACTACCTCAACCATATTTTTATATATATATATATATATATATATATATATATAATATATACACATATATGTATATATATATACATACATACACACACATACATATATATATATGAAAATCACAGCTTTTCTAAGTTAAAAAAATTCCACAGAGATTGATTCTAAAGTCTAAACTACATCTCTAAAGACACTTCCTTTCATTTGCTTCTCTTCCAAAATATAAATGATTCTCTTCCAAATATAAATGATTTGGTTATTTTGGGAGAGGGGAAACATTAGGTTACAGATTATTCAAATATAAGGACATGGACAGAGTCTGGAAAACTAGAAAGAAAACATTAAAAAGCATCTCAATTCAATTTTTTGCATGTGAAGAGCACTATATTGTCCTTATGCCTAAATACACATTTGTTGATGAACCAACCCAAATATGATTGATTTTTCAATGAGCTTCAGGTGCTGTTGATTTGCTCATAAGAGATAAATCAAATGCAGTACTCGATGTCAAGTACTGGTGTCGATGAGTCCACTAACAAGGGCATCTTGTTCTAAGAGTATGAAAGAACACTAATTACTTCTTTTAGTTTACTTTTTTTTTGGGGGGGGGTGGTCAGGTCGTGGGGCCTGAACTCTGGGCCTGGGCACTGTTCCTCAGATCTTCAGCTCAAGGCTAGAGCTCTACCACTTGAGCCACAGCACCACTTCCGGCTTTTTTGTTTTTGCTTATGTGGTGCCGAGGAATCGAACCCAGGGCCTCAAGCATGCAAGGCAAGCACTCTACCACTGAGCCACCTTCCCAGCCCCTAGTTTACTTTTTAAATGAAGAAAAAGCTGAATAACTAATCCCAGTTCCTAAGTACAGAATGTTAAGTGATTCTCTGAAACTGCCAGTGGCCAACACCTTTGCAATAATCAGTTTTAAAGTCACAAAAGTGGCTTGATATGAAGCTTGAAATTCCTCATCTAGAAAAGCCTATAGGAAATGCCTATTAGCTATTAAATTCTCCCACTTACATCATTGACAATTAAGCTAACTTACTATTCTTCTGCAGGAATGCTTTTCACCTTTTGAAGTCTCAAAAGGTGAAATTCATTTGCAGTGGGGATATTTTGTAAAATTAGACTTAAAGATTATTCCAAAGGAAAAACTGTAAAATATGATCACCAGCTGTGCTCTGGTGGCTCAAGCCTGTGTAATCCTAACTACTCAGGAGGCTGAGATCTGAGGATAACAGTTCAAAGCCAATATGGGGCAGGAAAATCAGAGAGACTCTTATCTCCAATTAACCACCAGAAAACCAGATGTGGCACTGTGGCTCAAGTGGTACGGCATTCACTTTGAGCAGCTCAAGAATAGTGCCCAGGCCCAGAGTTCAAGCCCCCCAACCGACCAAAAAAAAAATCTTAAAAGGTTCAAACACTTAAGTTTTGTAAATCAGATAAGCAAGTCATTATCCTGTTGCCATTAATTACTATAATACAGGAAACTGTTACAAGTTAATTCCCTAAAAATTTATAGGGGCAACACATATTGTCACTGTGACTTCTCTTGGATTATATGCCCTGTGGAATATTGAGGTCATTCAAACCGGTAGGGAGAAGCTTCTGCAAGTCAAGTGAATAGATTCCTGCCAAAAGCTATATGAGTGAACTATTATGAAGCAGCTTCCCCAGTTCTAGGCAAGCCTTTAGCTAACCGCATCCTGACTGCAATAATACAAGAGACCAGGAGTTCAGCTAAATTGTTCTCAAATTCCTGACCCTCAGCTGCACCAGAATAATCTCCTTCAAAAAACAGTAATAGAAAGAATTACCTTATATAGTTCCTTCTCATCCTTTTCTGTCTTCAACTGACCTTCAAGTTGCTCTCTTTCATATTGTGCCTTCCTGAGTTTGTCCTTTAAACTGTGTTAAGATTAATATGAATGAATACAACTGAAAACTTTCTTAAATAATTAGTTATTTCTTTAAAATCATCAGAAATACCTGTCTAATTCAGTTTCCTTTTCAATTGCTTTATGTGTGACTGACATAATATCTTCTTCAAGCTGGAGTGCTTTAGATGTAGCATCACTGTATCTCTTCTTAAACTCTTCATTTTCCATTTTTAAGCTTTGTGATTCTTCAATAAGACCCTTAGAAACAAGGCATTCTCATAAACATAACCAGTAAATAAAATTCATTTAAAAAAACCTCTGTGTTTGGTTTTGTTGTTTATAGACATAATGGTCTCTCTGTGTTGCCCAGGCTGTCCAAACTCCTATGTTCAAGTGATCTTCCTGCCTTAGTTTCCTAAATACTGAGAATACAGGCTACTACCGCCAACTTCGTATGCTTATAATTTTAATCCCACAATTATCTCATTGCTACCCCAGTGGCAATTCTAGTATAGATCACAAAGTGCTATATCAAAGCACTACAATATATCCCTAGGTCATTGTTTCTAATGCTGCCAATGTGCCACAGGAGCCTATGCAAATATTCCAAGATAACTGAACAAATGGAAAAGAAGTAAATTAAATGACTATTTAAACATGATCCATTTATCAATTAAGACAATTAAGAACTCAGAAACTGAACAAACTACTCTTCTATAGCTAAGATCTCTTTTTGCATGGTTTATGAAATTTTGCTGGGTCTGGGATCTAGGCAATGTTGTTTTTTTTTTTTTTTGGTTGGTTGTGGATGCTGTCCCTCAGCTCTTTAGCTCAAGGCTAGCGCTCTACCACTTGAGCCACAGCGCCACTTCCAACTTTTTCTGTTTATGTGGTACTGAGGAATCGAACCCAGGGGCTTCATGCATGCAAGGCAAACACTCTACTACTAAGCCATATTCCCAGCTCTGTGCTAGTTCTTTTTATCCCCCCTCTGGCTTGTAATAGGGCAAAGACTGGCTTTCTAAAGAATTACACTATTTGAGATCTTGGGTACTCAAATAGGGTAGGGTGGGGTCAAGTGAAAAGGAGTAGACAAATGAAGAGAGGAAATATGCAGACAAGAATTCAATGTATGCCCTACAAAATTAGGTGTGAATGTTGAAAGGGATGACTGTGATCAAGATATACTGTATCCGTAAACTGCATTGTTAAATGGCAACTTCTTTGTACAACTACTTAGATAACAAAAACTTAAAAATAAAACAGGTAAAGAAAAGCAGCCATTTTTCTATGATTATATTTTTAGAATTTATAGTAGTATATATAATACTTTCTGGATTTGTAGGGATATCTTAACTTTAGGAACACTAAATGTAAATATAAAACATGGACATAAAGATATGTGATTCCAAATATATTGTCCATGTAATATAACATTTGGCTTAGTGTCTCACAATATTTAGAATTATTTGATTCATTTGCTAATAAAAAAAAAAACCTGGGATTCCATTTTGGAAAACTGCTAAATCTAAGTTTTACTAATCTCTCACTGTAATAATTATTAAATAATAAAGGAGCAAGGAAAGATGGGAAATGGCTATAAATCCAGTTCAGATTGCCAGTGAAACCAACATAGGGTATATAGTGAGTTCAAGGCCAACTTGGGATACATAGTAAGACTGTCTCTAAAAACATCACAAAGTCAGCTCATTTCTATAATCTTAGCTACACAAGGCTAAGGAAGACCAAGGTTCAATGCAAGGCTAGACAAAAAGTTTGCAAGATCCTACACAATAGAAAAAGCTGAGCATGGTAAAGCACCCTCCTCATCCCAAGTGTGGCAAGAAGGGTGAACAGTAGGGATGTGGTCCAGTAGGGCTGTGGGCACAAAATAAGACATCTCAAAAATAACCAAATAAAAAAAGAGCTGAAGGCATAGCTCAATTGGCAGAACATCTAGTTAGCCAAGTATAAAGCTCTGAGTTCCAACCCAGTACTATCAAGCAGAAAAAAGAAAATAATAGGGGCTGGGAAGGTGGCTCAGTGGTTGAGCGCTTGCCTTGCATACTTGAGGCCTTGGGTTCGATTCCTCAGCACCACATAAGCAAAAAGAAAAAAAGCCGGAAGTGGTGCTGTGGCTCAAGTGGTAGAGCGCTAGCCTTGAGCTTAAGAGCTGAGGGACAGCGCCCAGGCCCAGAGTTCAGGCCCCACAACCGGAGTCCCCTCCCCCAAAAAAAGAATATCAGCAAGAAAGTTACAAGAAATACATTAAAAATTGAGTTAAATGTCCTAGAAGTAAAGGTAAGCATGTATTATTCTACTTTACTATATTTCTGTATTTAGTACACTGGCTTTAAAAGTTCAAAAATGAACAGAATGTTGGCACACACATCTGAAAAATGACCTATTTACAGGGAGGGGAGATCTGGAGGATCTCTGAGCAGAAAAGACTGAAAGACTACATTTCCAATTAATTAGCAAAATACTGGACAAGAGGCATGGCTCAACTGGTAGATTGCCAACCATGAGCAAAAAAAGCCAAGTGAAAGCTCAAAGTCCCAAGTTTAAGCCCCAGTACAAGCATTAAAAAAAAAAAAAAAATGAAAGAAGACGCTCCATAACCAAATAGAAATCCCTACTTTCTAGTCTACTTTGTATTCACCAAGAGTAAAATGCAGGATAACCTTTTTAACTAAAAAGGTTGTTAGAAAAATAGAGAACTTTATAGACATTATAAAGAAATGTAGATGAGTGCTGATGGCTCACGCCTGTACTCAGGAGGCTGAGATCTGAAGATTTTCCAGCCCATGCAGTCCGTGAGACTCTTATCTCCAATAAACCACCAAAAAACTGGAAGTGGTGCTATGGCTCAAGTGGTAGAGCACTCACCTTGAGTTGAAGAGCTGAGGGACAGTGCCCAGGCCCAGAGTTCAAGGGCCACACCGACAAAAAAAGAAAGAAAAAGAAAAAGAAATTTAAAGACAAATTTGAGGATTATCTCTAATTTAATCAGCAGAAGTCCAGAAGTAGAGGCAGGGCACAAGCAATAGAGCACCAACCATGAGCAAAAAAGCAAGTAAGAAAACAGGAGATCCTGAGTTCCAGCACCAGAGCTAGCATAACAATAACCACACACACATACAAAAAAAAATAGTAATTTCAAAGTTTTATCTCTAGCATTATATCTTAATTCACTGGATTCTTTTTTTGAAAAGCAATTTTTGTTTATTCACCTATGTTCCCTTTATTCAGTGTTTATGGTTTCTGATTTATTTCCAATGCCCTTCCTCCAAGTCTATCAACTATTCTAGAATTAGATGTAAAACATCTGGAAATAGTTGTCAAAGACTACTTCTCAAGTCTAGTAACAAGAGTCTAAAACTATTTTAACTATCTTAAAACACAAAAGCAGCTGTAGCAAAAGGTTAATAGAAACTGACCTATTCTTGTATAATGTCTCTTTAAATGCTACTTTTTTCCAGTACCTGGTCTTCACAGACTTTAATTGGTTCAGTTCTTTGACAAGGTGGGTTTCTGGCAACCATACTATCAACTCCAATCAGTTCCATAAGACACAACTAACCTTTTGCTCTGCTTGCAGATGCTCACATCTTTCTTTCTCTTGGTTAAGCTCTTGTTCCATTCTTCCAACTTGTTCTCGAAGTTGTGTTGTATCTTTTTCCAGAACAGCAATTAATTTTAATAATTCCTCCTTTTCTTTCAGGGTTTTCTCAATTTTCAACTATAGATCACAACAAAAAGTCTCAATTTTTCCTTAATTGTAAAATATTACTATAAGTTTACGTTTCAATTTCAAAAAATAAAATTCATAGAAAAAATTATGATCTACCTAATTCATTATCAATCAGCTTGTTAGTTTTCAGTTAAAAAATTAATAAATTAAGGCTGGGGTGTGGATAAAACACTAAAAGAAATCACAAAATGAGTAAAATATATTATGAAGTTGCCTGCTAATCACTTTTCAGATCAATAGTGAAGATAAGGCATATTAAATTTTTAAGTGGTGTAATTACCAATCTCTCATCCAAAATAACAATCAAAAACACGGACAGGAAAATTGTTCCTCTTGTGTCTGTGTTTTACTGGGGCTTGAACTCATGGTCAGGGAGCTCTCCCTGAAGTTTTTCAATCAAGGCTTGCTGCTCTACCACTTAAGTCACATCTCCACTTCTGTTTTGTTTTGGTTTTTTGGTGGTTAATTGGAGATAAGAGTTCTCATGTGAACCAGTGGCTCATACTTGTAATCCTAGCTACTCAGGAGACTGAGATCTGAGTATCACAATTTGATGCCAGCCCAGACAGAATAGTCTCTCTAAGACTCTATCTCCAACTAACCACTTCAAAAATGGGAAGTAGAGCTCTGGCTCAAAGGTGTACTGCAGTAGCCTTGAGCTTTAAAGTTGAGCTAGGCCCTGAGTTCAAGCCCATGACTGACAAAATACATACATTCACACATTAAAAAAAAAAAAAGAATTTCACATGAGGATCGCAGTTCAAGGCCAGCCAGGGCAGAAAAGTCTGGGAGACTTATTTCCAATAAACTCCTCAGAAAAAGTAAGAAGTGGTGCTGTGGCTCCTGGGCCTGGGTGCTGTCCCTCAGCTCTTTCGCTAAGGCAAGTGCTCCACCACTTGAACCACAGCACCACTTCCGGTTTTCTGGTGGTTTATTGGAGATAAGAGTCTCAAGGATTTTCCTACCCAGGCTGCCTTTGAACCCCGATCCTCAGATCTCAGCCTCTTGAACAACTAGGATTATAGGCATGAGCTACCAGAACCCAGCTCTATTGGTGATAGAGCGCCAGGCTTAAGCTGAAGAGCTAAGGGACAGTGCCCAGGCCCAGAGTTCAAGCCCCATGACTGACAAAATAAAAAAATGTTTTTCCTAATACATACTAAAATAAGTTTTTCAGTGTTGAACTGGAGATATGGCTCAATGACAGAATGCCTGCTTAGCATGCAGAAGGACCTGTTTCATCCCAAGCACCACACAAAGCACAAGACTCTGTGATTCATCCCCCGCACACATACAAAAAAAAGTACCGAGTCCTTGAATCATAGATCAAAAAGATTAAATTCTAAAAAGGTGCTTATGAAAGCTGAATAGCTGAAAACTTTCAGAATGATCTATCTGTCTATACCAACAGACCTAATGAAAATGCCAGGAGAAATACTCTCAAAAGGAAAAAGTTTATTTACTTAAGCATTAAACTACTTTTATGCCTTAATTATTTAACAATGATTTATGATAGATTACAATAACTGACATTCAGTAAATTCAACAGAAAATCAAGACCAAGCAAGGAGATTATCCTGAGGTTAACAGCATTATTAATTTAGCATTAAATCTGACTCAAAACTTTCTAGCAGATTTAAAATGAAGATGAGTCTTGACCTAGTATAACAGAAACAATACAAAAAAACTTTTTTTCCCAATGACTTATGTAATTCACAATATAGTGCTTGATAAAATGTTACTATAAAAGCTGGGCACTGGTGGGTGATGCTTGTAATCCTAGCTACTCAGGAGGCAGAGATAGGAGGATCAAGGTTCAAAGTCAGCCTGGGACAGAAAAGCCCATGACACTTACCTCCAATTAACTACCAAAAAGCCAGAAGTAGAGTACTAGCCTCAAGTGATTAAGACTGCTAGCCTGGAGCAAAAAATGCACAGGGACAGTGCTGGGGCCCTGACTGAGTTCAAGCCTGACACAAAGGGGAAAAAAAGTTACAAAAGTGTAAGCAGAAAAATGTTTAAAGAATTTAAGTTACCTAAAAACGTATATAAGAACTGGGAATGTGGCATAGTGGGAGAGTGCTTGCCTAGAATCCATGAAGCCCTGGGTTCATTTCCTCAGCACCACATAAGTAGAAAAGGCCCGAAGTGGCACTGTGGCTCAAATGGTAGAGTGCTAGCCTTGAATAAAAAGAAGCTCTGGGACAGTGCCCAGGCCCTGAGTTCAAGCCCATGACTGGCAAAAAAAAAAAACAAAAACAAAAACAAATGTGTGTGCATATAAACCTAATTTGTGCCCTAAAGTTGTATTCTGAAATATTTCAAGTATACAAAATAATTAAAATGTTATTCAATTTACTACTAACAATAATTTCCATGTTTGTTTCATCTTTTATATACTTGTTTATGAATTTCATTGTTTTGCTAAACCATTTTAAACAAAACTGCAGTAATTCACCCTTATGTACTTCAGAGCAAGCATTTCTAGCCGTCACTTTTTTCAAAACTGCTATTATCATACCTAAGAAAACTAAAAATATTTTAATTTCATCTAGGAGATACACCATAGTCAAACATCTCTTACTAGGCCCTAAATGCCTTTCTAAAAATATATCTATTATCTAATCCAGGTTTATTGCAGGATTTCTCAATCATTTTTAATGACAACAGAAAACCAGATAATGACCAGAAGAAGTTATATTTATTTTATATAGTATTAGATAAAATCATTGAATAGTATGAAAATTTTAAAGATTTTTCAAAAAAAAAAGCATTTTAGGTCATTTATTTCCATAGGGAGAGCAATTTAAGAATCAGTTATATCTTTTGTATAGAAGGAAGAAGTTAAATAGATTTGTACTAATTTCCAGCTTATTTGGAGAAAAAGCACTACAGAGATGCAGGTACCAAAATGTCCATAGTTATTCTGTTGGAATGACTGAAATGAGGGTGGTCTAACAAGTATTCAAAGTTACAATATAAATGTTAACTTCTTAAGATCAGGGCTTGTTTTAGCATCTTTGACTAGGACTCAAACACCAGGCTAAAAACCTTGATCACCAGGCAACTGTCACTACCAAATGTTTTAGTCACCCCATAAAAGTTACATTTCTTTATTTAAGATAAGAGAGGAATTTTTGAAAAGAGGAAGAAAAGATATAAGAGAATCAACCAGAAAAAAGATTGGTTCCTTCTAACTTTCTAGTTTGATGCTCTTGTGAAAGTAATATAGTATAACCTTTCATCTTTTGTTCCCTAGTGTCAGTTCTTAAAGATACATTAATGAAAACCAAAGGCATTAAAATATTTACAAGTTTAAGAAGATCCACCTGACTATTATGAATGGGCAATAATCTTCATCAAATAAAATATGAGTGTAAATTCACAAAAAAATATATAGTGAACTAACCTAAAAAGCCATTTTTTCTGATTATTACTGTAAAGGAAATAAATGCAATTATATTTAAAATACACTACTGTGCTTTATTCAGGTATAGGGTAAAAATATTACACAATGTGATCTTAAAATGGGGGGGGGGTTTCATTTTCTCTTTCATGACTCCTACAATTGAAACATAAGGCATTAGACGACCAGCCAATGACTCCAAGTATTTTATTTCAAAAACATAGTAATAGATCTTTCTTTTTAAGTTATGGTTAATCTAGGCTTATTCATTTGATCAGATAAACAAGGAAAACAATCACTCTAAAAGTGTTCCACCTAAGAGACTAAGGATACTTCCTTAACTCACTGTCATATACTAAGAAAGAACAATGTTCACATCCAACTATCGTGAGATCCTGACTGGCTCATGCCTTTCACCCAATCAGCTTCATCTTTTCAATGTGTATTATTCAACAATCAACAGATTAGGCCATCGTGAAAAAAGAACCATTAGGGTAAGGAAAGGTAATAAGCTTTAGGTCTAAATTCTGTCCATAGTTATTCACTGTATCATCCACTGTGTAAAACAGTCTCTTCCACAAAAGAACCAAGAAAGTAATTCTGACTTGATTAAGGCAGTACCTACTGCATTTCTTCATTGTAAAATTAGCATCCTTCCCTTGAAATTTTCAAATTTTGTTTTGTTTTGTTTTGTTTTTTGGGTCTGGTTATGGGGCCTGAACTCTGGGCTTGGGCACTGTCCCTCAGCTCTTCAGCTCAAGGCTAGCACTGTACCACTTGAGCCACAGCACCACTTCCGGCTTTTTGCTTTTTGCTTATGTGGTGCTGAGGAATCAAACCCAGGGCCTCATGCATGCAAGGCAAGCGCTCTACCACTTCCCAGCCCCTTTAGGTATGTTTTTAAAGACGCTTAGGTTCACTAAAAGCAATGGATTTTGATAGTTATGCATAACCTGAAAGACTTTTAAATGCCAGCACCATGAGCTTTAGTTCTCTGTTGGTACCAACCTCAAGAAGGCCAGCTTTTGTGGTCACGACCAACATGTCAGAATTTCCTTCATCTTCCATAGTAAGCAGTTCTTCAACTGGAGAAGAAGCTCGAAATTGGAATGGTGTACTAGCTCCACGAATTTCACCCTTATGGGTAACATAACAGAACTGATAAAATTCTCCATCATCATTTGGAAGATAATATCCTAAAAGTGGTAAACAAATAAAATTATTAACTTGTCATTATACAATGTTGTCAGATACCTTGTATTCATATTCTGTTTTCTAGAATGGGAACTTCTTTGTGCAACTACTTAAAGATAATAATAATAAATGTTTAAAAAACTTGTCATTATAAAAAGTCATTCAATTTAACAATATTTTCTACCTTGAATGAATTTCCTACTAGGGTTCACAATTTTATCTTTCAAAATTAGTCTTCATCCTGCTCATACTACTCATACTTGGGCCCTGTGTGCTTAAATTACTAAGTTTGTGCTCTTTCACCTACATCAATTCAAATAACATCAATACAAATAACCATGAATAAATATAAAAACTAACCACCAGCGACTTCAGGTCCAGCATCCTTACAACTGCTTAAAAGTCCCCTGTGTTCTCCCTGAATCTCTGCCAGCTGTCATTGACTCCCTCCTCACCCACATTCAGCAAGAAGTAGCCACAACAAAACTCAGGCTGTCCCCAGTCCCCACAGCAGTCAGGGAAAACTCAGAGGGGGAAAAATGAAGGAAAACATCAGCCAACCAATCCAGGCCTGTGAGTCCCAACCCCAAACAGTAGCCACTACCCAGGGCGGGGTCTTCAGTGCTGCCAAAAACCAGGCAAGTCCTCCTATAGAAGTCACCACCCACTTGAGGATCTTGTTTCCAACAAATCAATCACCCTCTAACAAACTGCCAGAAGAGAGGGGAAAAAGGTGGGGAGAGACAATACAAAACATCCAATCCCTCAACACATAGTGGACAACCAGTTTCTGGGTCCTTTTGCTCACTCAAAGTGACTTTTACTTTCTCTTTCCTAAACTCTTTAAAACTATTTAAAAAAAAACAAAAAACAAACGAAAGACCTCATCTGGTATGTACTTCATAATGATAATGAGGCTGGAAGAGAAACAATGATTCAATATAAAAACATAAAAAATATAAGGAGAAGCCAGGCCCCAGTGGCTCACACCCATATTCCTACCTACTCAAGAGGTTGAGATCTGAGGATCTCGGTTCAGAGCCAGCCGGGCAGGAAGATCCATGGAACTCTTATCTCCAATAAACCACCAGAAAACCAGAAATGGTGCTATAGCTCAAGTGGTATAGCACTGGCCTTGAGCTGAAGGGCAGAGGGACAGCACCCAGGCCCAGAGTTCAAGCCCCACAACTGACAAAAATATATAATTATATATTATAATATATATGGAGAGTGGGGTATAGAAATATCATTTAAATGAAATTTCTCTCCAATTTAGCATTTAGCACACATAAAAACAACATATTAACTACAAGAATATGTTGTATATTGAAAAGAAGAGAAGGCTCATACAGATATATTCTGGAATTCTAACTGTATTTAAACATGTCTCTGACTCACAGGTTCTTATCTTTATGTATGCATGTATGTGACAGAAACATTTATCTCAGAGTTCCTAAGTGTCCACAGATAATATATGCAAGACATTTAGTCCCATCTGAAAAATGCTGTGTTTAATATTTGCTTTCTTCTTTCTTCAATTGTTACTCATAACTTTTGCTGAACTGTCCTAACTCAAAATTAATCTTTACCTGCACAAGTAGTTTTTTCCTATGTCTCCACATGCAAAATTATACTTCTCTAGAAAGACTTGTGTTCGCTCCTTTATTTATTCTCTTTAAATTTTGCCAGTCCTGAGGCTTAAACTCAGGACTTGGGCACTGTCCTTGAGCCTCTTTGTGATCAAGCCTTGCACTTAACCACTTGAGCCACAGCGCCACTTCCAGCTTTTTCTGAATAGTTTATTGGAGATAACAGTCTCATGGACTTGCTTGGCCTGGCTGGCTTCAAACCTCGATCCTAAGATCTCAGTCTCTTGAGTAGCTAGGATTACAGGTGAGATACACTAGTGCCTGGCTATTTTTTTTTTATTTTTAAATAGTTGTACAAAAGGATTTCAATCCAATATGTCAATGTCTAACTACATTTTTTGGTTTTTGGAGTTTTGGAGTTTTGTTGGTTTTTTGGTGCCATTACAGGGCTTGAACTCAGGGTCTAGAAACTGTCACAGAGTTTTGTGCTCCAGTATACCTCTCTATCACTTGAGCCACAGCTCTACTTTTGACTTTTTGGTAAAAGAGTGTCATGGACTTTCCTGCCTGGGCTGGCTTCAAAACTGTGACCCTCTAAGATCAGCCTCCTGAGTTAGCTATGATAACAAGTGTGGGCCACCAGCACGTGGCTCACATAATATTTTTCACACACAAAGAAACAGGGAAAAGGAGGAAGGGAGAGAGAGAAGGAAGAAAAGAAAAACAAAGATACATGCAAAGTATACTTTGCATTAATTCACTATGTATATGCTTGGGGAGAAGGGTCCTAAGAATTGAACTCAGGACCTCAAGCATGCCAGGTAGTACTCTAACCATTAATTATATCCCCAACCCTTGTATTCTTACTTTTGAGACAAGGCCTCATAAAATTGCCCAAGCTGACCTCAAACTTAATCCTCTCACACTGGAATGTGCCATCACATTGAGTTTTGTACATGCTTTATATCCTAAATCATATTTTAAAACCACTTAGGTCAAACAGAAACACACACTTGAGAGTTGATATTTGTGTGTATACACACATTCACATATATATGAATAAATTCTAGAATCACCTCAAATTATTAGTTAAAAAGAAGCATTCAATAATTGTGCATATGCAAAGATAAAGATATTTAGCTGATATCAACACAAAAATCTAATAACTATGCCCATTCTTTCATGCCATAAAATTTTCTTTTTTTATTTTTATTTTTTGTGAACATACTGTACAGAGGGGTTACAATTACATGGGCAAGATGAGTACATTTCTTGTCAAGCATTGCAGCCTCCTCCTTTGTTTACCCTTCACATCACTTCCCAGCCTCCCCCCCTCCCCCGCACCAAAGTTGTAAAGTTCGTTTTCGACATGAGAACTTGTACTTCTGTCATGCCATAAAATTTTCACCCACATTATTATACCTACTTTTTTTTACCTTGTTTCATTCTTTTAAGAAATTGTTGGGCCAGGCACCAGGCATCACGCCTGTAATCCTAGCTACTCAGGAGGCTGAGATCTGAGGATAACAGTTAAAAGCCAAGCCAGGGCAGGAAAGTCTGTGAGACTCTTATCTCCAATTAACCACCAGAAAATGAGCAGTGGCACTGTGGCTCAAGTGGTAGAGCTCTTGCCTTGAGCTGAAGAGCTAAGGGACAGCAGCCAGGCCCAGAGTTCAAGCACCACAAAGGACAGGAGGAAAAAAAGGCTGGGAAGTTGGCTCAGTGGTACACTGCTTGCTTTGTATACACGAGGCCCTGGGTTTGATTCCTCAGTACCACATAAGCAGAAAAGGCCAGAAGTGGCACTGTGGCTCAAGTGGGAGAGCGCTAGCCTTGAGCTGAAGAGCTGAGGGACAGCACCCAAGAGTTCAGGCCCTACAACCAACCAAAAAAAAAAAAAGAAAAAAAAACAACTATGGGTTTTACTCTTTTGAAACAGAGAGGAGGAGCAGAGGATATACAAAATAGCCAGAAACTTCTTAGGGTGCTGAAAAGCAAGGAGTAAGTCTTCAAAAATAAGTTTGAAGAGCAGAGGGAAGCATATCAGAAAATACCAGAACCTACCTGAGGAGCTCCTAATGGACAAAGTCAGAATTTGAGCAACAAATGACAGTATTCATAAAAGAGAATGAATTCATGGAGAAAAGAACAACTCCTATAACACAGTAATTTCAATTAATATAAATTTTATGAGAATTGTTAAGCAAACACTGTAGTTGTAGATTAATGCATTCAGAGATCATAAAATTTGTGGGGTAAAAATATGAAGAGAAAAAAGGTATTTCTATAGTTTCAAAGTAGACTCCATATAATGTTCATTATAAAGGGAAAACTACTAACAAGGTGAAGCAATTCAGATGATAACTAAAGTACAATGCACTGAGAATGACACATTACTTCTCTTTTTTTTTTGGCCAATCCTGGGGCTTGAACTCAGGGCCTGAGCACTGTGTCCCCTGAGCTGCTTTTGCTCAAGACTAGCACTCTACAACTTAAGCCACAGCACCACTTCCACGTGCTCAGCCTTAGGCATATTACTTCTATGGCAGTCTTTCCTAAGGCTTTACACATGCATTAGCACTGAACTACCTCTAAAACCCTAAAACATCTGAGTGTTCATACTGCAATACAAATATTTATTCTCTGAGTATTACTGGAACAAAATAGAAGGAAATGTTTCTTAACTGTGAAAATTACATATAATCATATTGTCAATGTTCACATCAAACATTCAAAAACTCAGAAAAGTGTATTTTGTTGGTTTTTTCGCCAGTCCTGGGGCTTGAACTCAGGGCCTGGGCACTGTTCCTTGGCTTCTTTTGTTCAAGGCTAGCACTCTACCACTTGAGCCACAGCACCACTTCTAGCTGTTTCTGTTTATGTAGTACTGAGGAATGGAAGCCAGTATGCATGCTAGGCAAGCACTCTATCACTAAGCCACATTCCCCAGCCCATACCAAAGGCAACTAAAATGTGATACAGTGACAACACCAAACACTACTGAGGATATGGAGCCACAAAAACTCTCATTCATTGCTGATGGGAATACAAAATAGTAAAACCACTATGGAAGCAAATTAGTATACTTTACCACAAAATCTAGCTATCATATCCCTTGGTATTTAAATCTGCATAGCAAGATCCATATAGCAGCTTCATTCATAACAACCACAACTTGGAAGCAGCCTAAATGTCATTCAAAAGATGAATAAACAAACTAGAACAGCAGTATTTTTATAAAAGGACCTATCAAGATAAAAACATGGGGTAACTTTAAGTGTACATTGATAAAGAAAAAGAAGCCAATGTGAAAAGACTACATACTATGGTTCCAATAACATAATACTTTGAAAAAGGCAAAAGTATCGAAGCAATAAAATTGAGTTCTAGCAGTTTAGTGAGAGGAAAAGACA